AATGTATTTATATATTTCAGGATATCAAATATATAGTATATATATATTAAAACAGTAAAAAAAATATGACGTTTTTCCTCTCAAGTAATCGCAAAAATAATTTATAAAGGGTGAGTAAAAAAAACCTGGCACCTTTGAGAGTCAAATTAGAGGTGAACTTGTGGCTGGAATTTTACAATTCCCATGACAGGCCCATGTGGATGTACAATCAACAGGACGTGGTTAACTGATGCAAAAGTGTTTAAACCAATTGAAATAACTCAATGTGGCGCGTGTGCTAGAAAAACAATTTGATGAAACTGTTCTTTTTTATTTACAGTGCTTATAATGCATTTTAACTCCCAAAGGGAACAAACTTTATGTTTTAGGTTAATTGTAATGATTCACCTATTTGATATGCTTCGTATAGGTGTCAGTTTTTTTTTACTCACCCTGTATATTTCAGGATATCAAATATAGTATATGTATTAAAACAGTAAAAAAATTATCTTAAAAAATTAAAATATTTTAAATAGCTATTAGTGTTGCAATTGCTGTATTAACAATTAGAAAGAAATAAAATTTAAAAACCTATTAATCAGTATGTAAAAACTCTCTATTGTCTTTGATATTTTTCCGAGCGACAGACCCAATAAAACAAAAACTCGCTTCAGAACATCAGAATATTAAAAATATCAGATAACACTGCAAACAGAAAACGGCCAAGGCCTCATGAATGGACTCCTTTAAGCCGTCATAAAAACATCCGCTTGAATTCTTTTTTAAATCCATGCTATATGGACATAGTATGGATGCTAGTTGGATATAGTATGGAAGTTTACAATATCCATACAAATAAATTTAATTGCTATTTTCATACTATGGCTATAGTATGGAAAAGGTATACAATACCCATATTAGTTGCAATTTTCATGGCATGCATTTTAAGAAAAATATCCAGTGATCCTGTATGCTGATGTTATCAATTGAGTAATCACCTTTTTTTTATTTTTAAAAATTAACTGCTATATTACTTTTTTCAAGAAGCCCATTTTTTCGCGCAAAGTACATTAATATTAGCGGATATTTCATTCTTTTTTCAGCAATATGTACCACGTGGTGCGATTGAGAGCTCTTAAACACGAGAAAAATGTCGCTTTTCCGCGGAATGAAGACAGAAACATACGATTATAAAGACTTAACCGGGAACGTTGCGATAAATTCAACTTCGGTCCTCCAGCATAAAGGGATGGACTGAGCAGTTTGTGATTCGGGCGTGAACTGATGGTTGGCGGTCTTTATGGACACGGATATTTACGGAACTGAGCTCTTCGCTTTTGTCAGAAGAAGAATTCCAAAGCTGGTAATTGAATACGTGTGAATTCAGAATTTATATTATTTGAGGACGTTCATGCTTTTCTTAATGTTCCTGATACAGTATTACGTACAATTGCAAATTTGTAATTCTACTTTAATGTTATGTCAAGCAATGAGCAACAAAAGTAATGGAACAGTAACTGCTGAACCATCAGGACTAAAGGGAACTGCGGCAATGAGAGCAAGAAATAAATTTCCAAAATGAGTCGAAGAACTTTGCGTAATATAGTTTGACATTGGCGTTTCTTGAGGCAGCTGTGCTTTGGACATAGCACCTCTCCTTTTTTGGCGCGCTTTTAGAAAACGTAAATCATACACTATAAAGACTCTACTTCTAAAGACTATAAATTAATGATTGTATATTTTCAATAATATAATCAGATAAATCGAACCTGGTAACCGTCTTTACGACAAAATCTGAACCGGAGAAATTGAAGCGCGGTTCACACAACTCGGTCGGTTCCGATTCAGATTGCCTTTAACCAATTTGCGGCTGATTACTGTACATATAAATGAGATCATTTAAGATGATAAGTATAAACCCTCAGTGTAAGAATCATTTTTGACCTTTTAATGATGCCGATTTCAAAGCAAAACCGTATAATGGTCCTTTCGCCAACTTTTACACTCAAAAACTCATGTATTGTTCATTATACTCCACGGTCATTGCTGGCCAGGTGCATGAAAGCAGGAAAGCATGAAAGCTATCAAAGAGAAAACTATTGAACAAGCCGCCAATTCTGGCGTTAACTGCGTCGCGTCAATCGTTGCATGCAACTGTGCCCCATTTCCTGTTGATATTTATTCCTTTAGAAAAATGTTTCTTTCTTAGGGTTTCTAGTAAATAGAGCACTTCGTACAGAATATAGGGTAAAACTGCATTATTGGTGCTAGGCAGATAACGATATACGTGAATGAGTTTAGAATCATGTACTCTAAGAATCTGTTTGTACTGAAATTCAATAGGATCGATCTGGCCGTTTTTACCCTTGAAATGAAGGTGCGGTTGGATTGAAAAATGGCATAGAATGGCATACAAGGCTTTCATAGCATACAAGCCTTTCATGATTCATGTGATCGTTGTCGGTAAACCCGTTTTAGTGTAGGTTTACCACGATCAGTGTGTGCTAGTGTATGCAGATTGAGCATATCAAACCAGACAAGTCGAGAATCCAGCATTATGATTACCTGTACGTATCTTCTCGAACGACAGACGTCTAGATTTCCTGCGCTATCGGCCATGCACAGCTACTCGTGTAGACGTGTACGTGTTATTTTATATATATATGACGTGTATCGTGCATGCAGTTTCCTGCTTTTGGTTCGCACGACCCCAGTTCGAATCCCGGCAACAACAAACGTTTTCAATTTTTTGTTTCAGTAAAATATTTCTTTTGTGGGGGTTACTAGGCTTAGGTTACTATTTGAAGTGTGTTTAGCACGAAAATATTTCGATACGAAATCAGACGATTTCAAAATACGAGTATCTTAGTTGGCCTGCGCGGCCAGGAAGACCGGGTCGAAAACGTAAAAAAACACGAAAAAAAAAACAAAACAAAAAAACAGCGACGGCAATTTTAGACTGCGTTCGCGCAGTGCGCGACGCAGTAATAACTTTAAATGGACTATATGCAATCTTTTGACAACTCATTATACACATCTGACAGCTGTGAAATGGCCATTTTGAGGCTTAAAGTATACACAAGTTTATTAATTCAGACAATTCGTTTTTGCCGTGTGCAAGCTTTAAATCTTTTGTGCAAGACATATTTTTTGTAGTATCTATAATTCTTTTTTCTCACCAAGTTTGAAGCCTAAGTATTGAGAATTGCGGTTAAGTATTTTTCAATTTTACCAATTTCCGCGGTGTCATTGTGACAGAACATAGCGGAGTCCAAAGTTGTTCCAAATTCAAGGCATTTGAGACTTCGAGCACGGTTCACACAACTCATTCGGTTCCGGATGAACCTGCCCTTAATTTGCGCCTGATTAATGTACATATAGATGAGATCATTAAAATTTTAAGTATATAATTTTCGACTTTTTAATGATGCCGCTCTCAAAGCAAAACCGTATAATAGTCATTTCCACCACTTTTACACTCAAAAACTCTTATATTGTTCATTATACTCTATAATGAGACGGTCATTGCTGGCCAGGTGCATGAAAGCAGGATCTTTCTGCAGTCATACAGCCTCGTACCCAGGCGTTCTTTTTACCCCTGCGCGCTCGCACAGCTCCGCCACAGATCTCTATATTATGCTGAATGCAGCCTTTATGTTTTCCAATAAAGCGCCTGGGTACGAGGCTGGCAGTCATACCTTACAAAGCCATTAGCTCAGGAGCTCATCGACGAACGTTCAACGTATGACAACCAGAATGAACTCAACTGCTGAACGCATAATTATCGAAACATGTCATATCTTTAACGAACAATTTCATCCAGTTGTTAAAATTCCTGACACTAAGAGCCTAATTCTGTACGTTTTTGCACTTGTTACAAATGTCAGTCTAATATTGACAACCCTATTTTTCAACGGTCTTACGGTTTTAACTATTTGGAACTCAGATAAATTGAAAGAAATAAAATCCGACTCTTATTTTCATTTATTAAGTGGTAGCGATGTCTATGATGAATCTTGAAAGGTATTTTGAAAACCATCGCACCAAAGTTACCAAAGGAAGAATTTTAAAATTCTCAATTTTTGAATTTTGTTTCCAGTTTGAATAACAATACCACACTTACATGCTACGACTAAAATTTTTGGTAATCAGTCTGCACGAGGCTTATAAACACCAGCAAAGAGGACCAGGTATGCAAATAAAAGTAAATGCACTTTAACATCAAGATTACCGGTTCAAAAGCCATGCCTAGGAAAATTAACGTCATAGGAAGTCTCAATTCTCCAAATAAAGTCGATGTTGTTTTAATTTATATCTTTGATTTTAAGGTGGCTCGATACAGTTTTCAAAAATTCCACTGTTCATCACTTTGACACGTTCAAACAACGCATTTTTATGATTTATTCCTGAGATATTGGGGTTTTTGCATATTATGATGTCTCTACTTTTGAATCGTATTAGTTTTAGTAACAGATCGTCCGTTGCTATGGCGACATACGTGTACAAAATTCACTCCAAAATGACAAATTGCCTCGAATAGTTGGAAAAGAAGCACGGTGACCCCCAATTTTTTTTCGTGCATTATTTTACTTGGAAGAAAAACTAACAATTAGCAAAATATAAAAAAATTCTATAATGCCACATTTTTGAAAAATACAATTTTTCTCGATAATTTTTTTTTGCCATTATAGAATTTTTTATATTTTACTAATTGTTAGTTTTTCTTCCAAGTAAAATATCACACGAAAAAAATTCGGAGTCACCGTGCTTCTTTTCCAACTATCCGAGGCAATATTGGTCATTTTGGAGTGAATTTTGTACACGTATGTCGCCATAGCAACGGACGATTTGTTACTAAAACTAATACGATTCAAAAGTAGAAACATCAAAATATATAAAACCCTAATATCTCTAGAATAAATCTTAAAAATGTGTTTTTTGAATGTGTTAATGTGATGACCGATGGAATTTTTGAAAACTGTATCGAGCCACCTTAAGATAGCTTTCTTCTTCGGAATTTGTTTTTTTTATATACCATATAAACACTACAACATGCATGGCTCTGTAACAATGTCTGCTAATGGCATATTTGTTTAAATCAGTTGTATAAATAATATGTCAGTATAAATAACTAGAATTTAATATACATTAATATTATTTGTTTGCTTTATGTAATATGTAATTATGAGCTGATTCTGTACTTCTTTTCATTTTCTATTCCTATCCTTTGCTTTTTTTTTCTTTTTGTCTTTCCCTTTTGATTTCTCTTGTAATTGCTACATATAAGTGGTAATTAGAATGCAATACCTTATCATAAATTGCGTTACAATTTCCTACCCTTATTAGTAGCTTTTGTAGTCTTCTTTCGAATGAAAAAAAAAATTTAAAACTTTTTACCACTTACTTTTGCTGATCTTTTCAATTTTTTCCTCGGTCTTTCAGTACCATTTTCTAAGGATATTTTATGCAAATCTTTTGTAAACATTGCCACATAGCATTTGATATCATATATCTACATATGAAAATATGTCACAAACCTTCAAGTGATGTGTCTTCAAATTGCAAAACACTAAAACTATAAGTATCGTCTGGATTACATTCTTTTAAATCACTCTTGTCTTCTTCAAATTCGGGACTAAGACCCTCAATTTCTGCACTTTCTGAATCAGAATCTGGTGGGACCCACATTTCTGTACCAGGATCCTCCAAGTCTGTGAAATGGACTTCTTGATGTTTTGTGTTATCCTGCATCAATCCTCCCTTTTTTACATCTAGTAATAAAATACCTCAGTTTTTTCAAAAACCATGTGCATGATGCAAAATCAGACTGTTGTATTTCAAACTGTCATATATTGTAATATTGACTTTAGTTACATAACATATAAATTATTTTAGTACTTGTTTTCAAAATAGAATAGTTATATTCTAAAAAGTATGTTCAGATTTTGCTAGAAGTAATGAGCATATTTGAATTACCTTTTACAGCTTTTTTAAATCTTCTTCCATTCAAGTGTTGTCTGATGTGATTTGGTAGATTGTTAAGATATCGTTTAGTTAGTTTGCAATACAGTTGTCCTCTAAGAAAAATTCAAATTACAATTTTACAATTCAAGGACGGTACGTCAGGGGAAATGTCCACCCTCAACCTTGCACCTAGGATTTCTCTCCTTAAGGTTGCCCCACCCCTAAAGAGAGCAGGAATTTCTCTCCCCCCCTGACATATTAATATTTTAATTTATATATCTTCGTCATTTTGGGTACAAATACATTTGATTTTCTTCAATCTTTAAACTATCAAACCTATTCCTTGTAGTATGGTTCGCTTCTGTATACAAAATATAAACCAAATGGAAACAAGGCTTCAAGGGTTATTTACATACTCTAGTAGATTAAATCTACCCTTTGATATTCTTGGGGGGAAAGTAAAAAATTTCAAAAATTCCCTATTTTTTTACTGGCCTTTGTCTCCCATAAGCTACTATTGCTTCCATCAGTCACCATAAACTTCATCAACATATATAGTTACCTTCTTCTCTCAGTTAAATATTGTGAACACAATTCTTTCTCTTTGGGTGTCAATTGGTGTTCACAAGCATTTTTATATTTCTTGCCATTAATGTATGTCTCTATAGCCTTCAATGTGCATGGCATCTCATGAGATGTGATATCACAAACAACCTGAAACAAAAAATGCCATCAAACTAAAATCAGGCAATTAATCAGGCAATTGAAGTTAATATCATGTATTTATGCAATTATTATACTTTAGTGCCTAAAAAATCACTAAAGAAGAACTACATTAAAGAAGAGACTGGTAAGTTGTTAATAACTATAGTAACAAACTGACTCAGGGGTGTAGGAAGATCTTGAGGAGTATATTAGGCATATGCTAAGAAAAATTCTCAGAAATACCGATTTCAGGGCACAAGTACATGTGTCACCAGAACCTATTCATAAAATTTCAAATACCAGGGTGCAAATTTGAAGTATAGTGTGCGGGGGGGTGTAAGATATCCCCACCCCCAGATATATTATTGGGAGCCTAGGAGTTGGAGGGAAGCACAGACTTCCCCATCTCTGTAAATTGGGCAGTTTTAGGTGTGGGAACAGAACGATTTGTCAAATAACATTTTTGTCAATATTTTACATATATTTGAATTAAAAGAACCAAGAGAATTTAATGATGTCAGATGATATTTATAATAGTTGAAGACTTGAATTTGAAGCAAAGGAAATTAGAGCCGTTCGCTGGGAATGGGTGAATTCATGAAATATTTTTTGTGTAAAGAGAGCTTAAATGTCGTCCAATATTGCAAAGATACAAACCCAGCATTTTCCGTCTTCGTTTTCTTTAATCCTGAGATTTGGATGACCTTCTAAAACTGTCTTCACTGCGTCGTCCATGTTGGCATGTTGCTAACTTGTCATTTAGTAACCAAGCCTGCCCAGTCAGTGAGCGGACTGAGCTCTAAATATTAAATAATAAAACTGGGAGGGACGGGTCTGACTACATCACGGGCGTTCTTTGAGGGCGCCCGCAGTAACTTTGCAACGCGGATAAATGCTATTAGCGATCTTTTCGGTCAGCACGCATTCATTATAATTGCGGTAATTGCGGGAACTTTAAAATATTGCGGGAAATATTTAAATATTTACCGGTTCGACGATCGAGGGAATTTAGGCAGGTATAAATATAGGCATAAATATGGCAAGCGCACGGTTACAAAACATAGTAAACGAAGAAATAAGTTTTCTGCAAGGCGCTTTGAAGGATTTTAAGGTGATTGGATCCTACTGTTACGGGTTTACTGACGATAATTATGAAGATATTATCGAAAAATACCTGTCCATTAGCTCTACTTGCTTCGTCACAAAAGAAGCACATTTTAAAGATAAAGGTCATAAACGATTCTCAAATACAGGTATGTACAAGTACTTCCCTATAGCTTTATTGGCGAAAATATTGAGCTTCAAATCTGAGCCCCTAATGTGAGGAGTATAGCCAGGGGCGCCGGAACCACGGTGTAGGTGCTCCCCCCACCCTTCCATGCTAGCTGTCTCAACCTAAACTATGGTGAAGCACTACAGGATATGTTTTACTGTCCTTAAGGAAAATTGAAAATTCCTGCCAGGTTTTTAGGAATTTGGAGAATGACTTAAAATAAAATAGTTTGGTAAAAAAGAGATATATTAATGTTTACTGTATATACTAAGGGAATACTTTGTATATATTAATTCTACTGCAAGAAGGATATTAAACGACAAAGATATTTTAATAGCACTTTGACTTTGAGGATTGTAATTAAAAAACATTCCATGCACACATTGCGTAAACGAAAATATTGGCAACCCTACCTTTTCATAGGTTGTCGAGGAGACCTTTCCACAACACACACTCTATCTTTGAAGGTAATCCAGAAAACAGCGCTGGTAAACCCAAATTATCCAAGAGTGGTATTTTAAATTTATGGATTAATGCGTTGCAGAGCAGAGCTTAAAATAACCTAAATGACCCTAATCAACCCTTAGTTCATAATACCGTTTTACATCAAGTATCTCGTGGTATTCAAATATATCCGCGTTGCAAAGTTACTGCGGGCGCCCTCAAAGAACGCCCGTGATGTAGTCAGACCCAACTGGGGACAGCCGATTTGAATATGCCGATTTAAACATTCACTGGCGGTCAAAAAGAACTGTTCAAAACAAGTTAAAATGCTCTCAAAGGAACGTAACTGTCCCTCTACCAATATATACGAGTAAATATAAACTAGATTACATGCTACGCTATATGAAGTATTTCTATTTTGTTAACCCTCCTTTGGCCTTATAATTCATGACCGCCTTACACCGGCGTACCATATTTTGTTAAGGTGGTAATCTTGAGCGGTCAAAAGAAATGCATCCTATGGACAGTCTTTACTGCAACGCATAAATCATGGACGCTTTATGAATGAATTCCTTTTTTGCACTATCCCCTTGACCATTAACTGTGCCTTAACATTGTCCCACAGATTTTCAATAGTGTTAAGGTCTTTTGACTGTGCAGGCCAATCCATTTCTGTCACTCCCTCTTCCTGAAACCATTGCTTGACTATATCTTCGAAGTGTGTCAGGTTGCATTACATTATTGAAATATTGCTTGGAATAAGAGAATTATCCAAAATGCCCGGCTATGAAGCTCTCTCAGTCCTATATTCGCTTCTTTTTTATGAATTCAGTGTATCTAAACAGTTCTTTTTGACCGCTACTGTACAATAAAAGATTGATTGTTACGATTCCTGTTACATACGATAATAGCAACATTTGAGCAGTTGGCTTTTGACCGCCAGTGTAATTTGCCGATTTACTATATAGTATATGGGGATGGCCGGAGCCGCGCTGGCAAAATGCGCCATAGGTTGTAACTATAGGTTGTAACAAATCCTGGTAGTTCAACCGCTATCTTACGGACATATCTTGTTTCTTCTTTTCCATCTTTCTTTAATTGAGTGCACTTTTGTTCACTCGAGAATTTTCGTGGCAGTTATTAAGAAGAAGCGATTGCCTGGTCCTGACTGCGAGTCTGACAACGCCTCAGAGACGAAAAATATGGAAACCGGCAAAAGCACCATTTCTGAAAAAATAGGGAAAAAAACTGTAATTGCTGTAATTAGAACAGAATAAAATATTTAAAATATAAAAAAAAATCAATAACTAATTATTTACGACTACGAATTTTAGAACTATATAAAATTTTAAGCCGCTGCATGCACCATTAGACCTGAAGATTGCTTGAGAGCATCAGTACCTTGATTGGCTTAATATAGATTTAATCGCTTCTTTCAAAACCTACTTTTCTGAAGGAAATTACTGAATATAGGATATAGCTATTTTTTTAGTGATATGTTCCGGCTTAGAACTTGGAAACTCTGAAACACAAGCAAAATACATGCAGCAGTGCAAAAATTATCCTATATTGTACCTATATTAGCCTATAGGTCTATATTTACGGTGAAATATAATATATAATGCGGAAAACCCAGCTAATTTGGAAATTCTGTCAATGCATGAGTATATAATTAGCCCACTGCTGTGCTGCACCTTGTTGTTTCTTTTCTTGTCGGCGTGGTTAAGAAGAATACATAACGTGCGTAAACACAATGACTTGCTGAAGGAAGGCAATATTGTCTCATGCTAGATATCGTTTGCGTGAGAGCAAAAGATCGAAAAAACTTATCAAATCGTGAATTTATGCTAAGGTCGAACCTCAATAATTTATGTAGACATATAAAACCAGAGTATTGTTGTATTCTTCGTTAAGTGAAAGCTTGGCATATGAAGAGTGTTAAAATAACAAGTTTGAGCAACTGATAGTTTATTAAGCATTTGTGTTGTCTGTTGTTGATTGTGTCCCGCTTGTCCTTTTGTTAAGTGCAATCAATTTGACACGGAGTAACGTGTGGTTTCAGCAAACTCAGTAGGTGTAACCAGCGACAGAATAATAACAAGTGCATATAGACTATAGAGTATATTAGCCTACATACATAAACACCGCACTCCACAGCCATCATACATGCATGCTGTGGAGTTGAAGATCGAATATTTTTCAAAGAAGGATAAAACTTTATTCTCTTAGACGTAAGATTATAATATATAGTATGTATTACGGTAACTTATGTTTATGAGTGTATATAGCTCCGCTCACTGCTCACACTATGTCTATAGTTTAGTGGATTTATGACATCGTTTGCTGCTAAGAGACATGCAGCAAAAGTGACAGCAAATGCGATTTATAGTTTGATGCCGAAATTTGCATGGTATATTTATTTGCCTACATGGGTCACTGGAATGATGTTAATTTTTTTTAAACCTTCGATTCCAAATTTGACCAGCTTCGATCGCGATCCTGTACAACGTTGTAACGTTGGGAAATTAAAAATATTTTTTATTATCACAGGTTTTAATGATGTTTTGCCACTTTGCAGTTATGGTTATTTGTGGACTGTCTTTTTACGCCGAAGCGGTAAGAGCAATGATAAGCTTAATCGTGCACAACAGATTTTATCTGCTATGTCGGACCTTGGTTTTTATGCAGGAATTTAGCAACGATAGAATAAAATCTTGCATGTTTGTGAAACATTGCACATGTATTCTCTTCAATCTCTTGCTAAACTAAAATGCAACAGAGTTGCTATTTGGTTTGGATGGTTTAAGGGGTCTTAATTTCGAGTGGTATTATACACGCTTCAAATTCAAGCCAGGAACAGTTGATGGAAAAATGAGTCAACCATAGGTCCTCCGGCAGGAAATGAACCTATACGCTTTACCTTCGATTAAGCGTAACCACTAGAATATTCCTGCATCGGGTGAAGTGCCAAAAATCATTATTGGTTTGGATGGTTCAAGATTTAAGCAAGAGCTAGGATAAAAAGCAAGATTGCTAACGGACAGTATATATCTACTTTATATTACTTTATTTTTGCTATTTTTCTATATAATTCATAGGCAAAGTTTAGACTTGTCAAATAGTTTTATAAACAAGCCTAACTCAATTTCAATTTTTTGCACTGAATGAATCATAATTATGAAATCATCTACCTGACTCTGATGCATCATATATACCGGCAATTTATTTCGTTCCATTCATATAAACCGTGAGCTCTCTCCCTCTATATATATATTTACATTGATAATAAATTATATAATATTTATCATGGTAATATGGTAAGGTTGGTAACTTCCGCTTGAGCTTACGAAATAACCATATAAACAAATGCAAAAATTGTCTATAGTATATCAGTAACCTACAGCGACTAATGAAAACTTAATAATTTTATTGAATGGTGTCTCACACCATGCTGTGTTCGATGCCAATCACATCATCGAATTATCTTAAAATATGCGATTTTCGCGGCAAAATCACTCCCGGCCGTAACAACGTTAAAAATATTTGGTTCCGCGTGTATATTGGAGGACTGGGGTGTCTCTCTTAATAGCTCCTTAAATTTCCGCCATCTTTAGTATCACTTTTAACAAACAAGCCGATATATATATCCTCCTCCTTATTATACGGCATATTATGCATTTATATTTATAGCTATGTGAACTAAGACGAAAATTCGGTCGAGCACGGATAAAATTTGGCACTGATACCGAATTTAGCCGTACCGGCGTGCCAATAAATTAAGTGATTGTAGTGTAAGCACAAATTTAGTATTAATTTAATATTCATGCGATAAGTTCCTGCCGACACAAGAGTTGGCAAGTTTTATCATATATGAGATAAAATCTCAATTTATATGAGATTGGACAATTGCGGCAACTTGAGATCGCAGTCATCATATAGTTAAATATGTATATTACATTCTTCACAACATCTTCTAGTTTTTTTTATTATAGCTGGTTCTGTCACTAACTACATTTATATATAGTTCTATAGTAAAAGTTAACTATAGCTACGTATAATTATATACAACCTACTCCGGATGATTTTGAAAGTTTCCCTCGTTCTAATCAAGATGATGTATTCTAACAGAAAATTGAGTTGATCAAAGGTGAAGATCCAGGATCATGTGACCAAAATAAGCACGGGAAAGAAGTGTTGATACACGATCGAAGCGATAATGATAAGATACTGACATGCGTGAAAGAAAACAAGGTTTATTTGTGGAAATCTATCGATGGTAAGATATAAACCCGCGTGCATTATTATAAATCAAAATGTATAACAATTTCCATCAATCCTGACTCTTCATTCCAGTTACGTCACAAAACTGACAAGCACGTCACGTATCGCTTTGATAAAAGTATTGACAGAAATTAGCTATACAAATGGCTGCCTCTCGTGCATGTAAAGAATTATTCGATTTTACCGTATACGAACAAATTAAATAAATTTGTTCGACAGGATAAAATATACTGTGTATGCATAGAGAGAAAAATCCTCAACCTCAAAATAGTCGCAACCCTTGACTGATTAGATTATCTCATCAAAATTAACTTCAATCATTAAATAATACTGTTACTAGTCTTAGCGCAAGTTTGGAAGAGACATTTTGCCCTTTTGCTTTTTTCAGTTAAAAACAAAAATCCTCTTATGATCTGTTGATAGGCTCAAGTACACTTGGTGAATTCATTAATCCCGCGTATGATTGTACAGATGCACTCAACGCTGACCCTCAAGCCAAAGATGGATTTTATTGGATTAACTTCAAAAATTCTAATGCGAACAAGGTACAGTCTCCTGCAGACGGTTCCAGTTAATAATCAGGTCCAAAACGATCAACAAACCTAAAAAATATGTTTTTATAGTTGGTCAAACAAATTAAAAGTTGGACAGCTTTTAAAATAATCCTTATATAGATATGTCCTCAAAGTTTTTGAATATCTTTTCAAAAGATCTAGTTGTGGTAAATAAGAAGTTAATAATATGTAAGGGTCAAGTGGCGCTTTTGTTTACATTATAAGACAGAATTTTGCTTCATTACATATTCTAATTTTTGCAACTACGTCAATGGGAAAATGAGTCCTGTTAATGTTTTTGTTAAGTTATTTAACTATGTCCAGTCCAAGGTTTGGTGTGACATGACAACAGATGGAGGGGGCTTTGCTTTGATTGGACGAAAAACGACACCAATTCTCTGGACATTACCTTCCAATGGCAGTCCAGTTCATCCCTATGGACCTCCTCATTGGTCCAGCTCGCTTGGTGACGCACCAATCCTGGACTTTCGAGTACAGATCGGTTTAGGCAAAAGTTTGAAGTCAACTAAAGCACACTGGTATGTGTTTTGTTTATTCTTTGTAGGACTTCAAAAAAGCCGATGATTCACGAAGTCAAGCCAAGCCCTTTTATGCTGTGCATCATATAGTAGATTGTCCTTCCGAAACATGTTAGTAATTAGGATGAAATAACATTTATATGAAATAACATATACACCATTTGAATCTTCATATTTCTCGTTTGTTTCGGCTTTGTATCCCAACAAACAGATCAACACTGGCATCTGAACTGTGAGTTGGTCCAATCCTAGTTGTTCAATCATGTATGTTTTAATAGCAGTAAAAATTTGGCGGGAGACTTTTTGAAATCGATGCTTCACAATATACCCTGCGTTACATCATAATTATTACCCCATACCTTGTGTAAAAGCGGCTTTCTGATTGGTTCCAAGCAGGCAATGGTCCAATCCAAGTTGTTCAATCATGCATGTTATAATAGCGGTAAAAATTTGGCTGTCATCTTAGAGACTTTTTGGAAGCGATGCTGCACAATGTACTCTGCGTTACATCATAATTATTACCTCATACCTCGTGTAAAAGCGGCTTTCTGATTGGTTCCAAGCAGGTAAGCAGGAAATCTCGGTGAGTTTGGAATTTTCAAGATGGCCGCCGTATTAGTTTTTTAAATTCGAGCCTAAGTTTGTTTGTTTACGTTGTATATTTTGCAACTTAAATGTTCGTTTTCTGAACAAGAAATTACGTACTACAAAATCAACAATGCGACACTTTCTGGACCATTTTTCCCGAAGTGGCATGAAATAAAAACTAAACGCTATGCTTGCATGATAAGTTCGGTAAGTTCAGTGCGTATATCCCGAACCCCTAAGGCTTTTTTTCAAAAAGTTGCAGTTTGTTTATCCAGCGATAGTTATCGCAGCTGGACTATGACCCACGATCATGAATCATAAAAATTGCCTCGCCCGTTTGAATTTCTTGCTCATGCGCACACGTGTCATTAATGCAGAAAGGATTCGATTTTCATACGTATATTTTTTGAGGCTTCAAAAAGACACAACAGCAACTGAACAAGTGTAAATGCTTGCGCAAAGTGTGGATTGATCATGTGATTGTTAATTCAAGTTTATTGATATATTTTTTTAAAGGTCATACAGATTGAAGTCTAAAAGACCTTTGAAACAACTTTTGCAGCAATCTAAAGATTGTGGTTTTTCATCAGCTGGAATTGCAGACATCGCTTATGTAAAAGATTTACAAACCAATAAAATTGTTACCCATAAATTATCTTGCTCGAAATTTGGTTACGCTTACTCTCCATCGACTGGCTTCGGTTGGGTAAGTTTGTTATGGGGTAAAATCTCTTTGCAGTATGTACAAAAGCTAATCGATAGATCTTGCGGAGTAATTTGGGAGTCCGGGGCACAGATGTGATTTTTACGACGTCCTTCACCCATGGCCATCGTCAAACTGCTTCATCATTTTGGAGCCTTCTTTGCAAAGAAGGAGTGGTAGTCCATTATCAGGTCCCCCTAAAGCAAGGGGTGCATACATTTGCCTTCTTCATTTTGCCATTTTTATTTTCTTTTTTAGGTAAGCATGAATAAATGCCTAGAGAGACCTTGTCCTCAGGGCTACGCCGTGGATAAGGGGTCGCAACACGATTATGCTGGAGCATTTAGGTATTTGTGCCTGAATGATGATGTATTATGCAATAAGATAATTGTTATACGTGTCTTAAGTCTTTGAATTTAGAGTGCCTTGACAGAGTCACAAAAGTACTACATACCACACATGCACTGAAGTCACTGAAGAAGCTATACAGTCGCTGAAGAAGCTATACAGTATAAGATGTTAGCTATATTTACGGCTTGGTCCGGATATAGTGACCGTTTTCACAAGTAAAAATGTCTTTGATAAAGAATTTAGGTTTCCTCCGCCCAAACGGAGCTCAAGTAATTCCATTCTTTTTGAAACCCGTTATGCCAAATGTTCTATGCCAAATGTTTTCCTTTTTAAACACACAACACTGTCGGACAGTCGGTTTTAAATACTGTACATGCTATATTTTAAACTATGTATCTTACAATTAACTGAATTACATCATTGCATGATTGGGTAGTAAATAATTATAGCGATATTGTATCGCTATATTACTTGCATGCGGAGCATATTAATGAGGCTCTTATTAGGAGCCAATGCATGTGATAAAAAAATAAGTAAAACTCACTTTTGACTTCTAAGACTTCTGTATCTGATATTTTTCAGTGCAGCGTTCACGTTTTTTTTTTACTATAGAATTATTATATCTCAATAGTTACAGTGTGGAGCAAAGCATTTCAGGCTTAGAGAGAGGAGCGACCGCTTTCATTGGATGTGATGGAAAGAAGGTACGTTCTCAAGAACGCAATATTGATAAAAGTTATTATTTACTTTATTTGAGAACATTTCTGTCTACCCTGCATGAGCATGAGTTCATCGGCATGTAGTGATTCAGCAACGTAAGGTTACGTAACCGAATATTTCTTCCAGCCCAATATTGCACGTGCAGTATATCCTATATCCACTTTAAATAATAAATGTCGATAAATGTGGCACAGATCTCTCTTGGTGCACAAATTGGTTACATCAGTAACACATATATACTTTCAGTGACAATATAGTAAAACAGATGTAAAATGAAGTCTGGTTTCTATTTAGTCGATTTTCACCGATAAGTGCATAGTCATGTTCACCAATGAGAAATAGCCCGGATGTAAATTTGTCCTTAATTTACTTCTGTATATGAAAATCGATCATTGATGACATCCATCATGCACGCACATCAGCAACGCACGACACCCATGCACGATTGAATGGAAACCTGGCAGAACGTAACACTGATAAAATAAACACTAGAAGATGGAGCTAAGATAAAAATATTTGACTCTTCTAGTGTTGCGGTTGTTTTGGTCCCAAGGGTGGAAGAAAAGATTATTGTTCGCAGAGTTGCGACAAAGATATAAATGGCGATAGAGTGCATGAGAATAACGTTAATACGTGGTATTGGGTGAGGTCCAGTGTCCCGAAAGCGGTGTGGAAAAAATGTATGGACTACAAGGTCAAGCGGAGAGATGGAAAAACAATTTGGTACAAGATAGTTGGAAGCAGTGCTGTTCCAGTGGAGGTAATTAACGCAAACGGTTTTTTGTATGAATATATATCACTCTTTCCCCTTACTTAATTGTTATATATGTGCTGTGTATGTTAAATGTGTTTGGTTCATTCGTATTCACAAGGTAAGTGAAAAATTGTTGCCCGTATATTGTCATAACAAAGTAAAGTTGTTTTTTTGAAATGTACACTTAATGTATACTACCTCGGGAAATAGTAAGTTTTGTTTTCCTTCGAGTCTCAATGTTTTCCTTCGAGGCTCAACATTCAGACACTGGGAAAAACAAAACTCACTATTTCCCTCTGGAGCATACATTAAGTGCATAATATACTCAACGTTTGGCAAACTATTTTGCGTCTATCAAGCAGGTATGCATATGAAATGATCCCAGTATATACTAGCAGCAAGAAAATTAGAATCTTTTTCGAATTTTTTCTCTTTTCTTTTTGAAGGGTCGATGCAACAAAGATGAGGTGAACCTTCTAGATGGGGTACGTGACTTTATTAATTAAAATACCACTTGTCAATGTTTGGTGTTCCTAACGTTTCATTGGTCGAAAGCGAATCACGCGAGAGTGACGTAATTTTGATATCGCCCGCGCGACCCCCTGCAGAGTGATATAACGCGTTATTTCGCGCTAAGTACGACTCGAAGACAAGTATTTATACTTTCAGATACTTATAATAAACCTTTACAGCTAGGATTCAATGTTAATATTATTCGGTTTTATCGCTATTATTTTCATAATTATATTATTATTATTCAATAACGTTTTTTGTTTAGATTGCAGTCATACCAAAAGGGAAAAACATTCCTCCCTTGCGCAGAATGGTGGCTTTTCGTGAAGGAAGCGATGAAATTTACGTACGATCAAATGGAAACTGGAGTGCACTGGCCCAGAAGGATAAGGTTAGTTACTTAGTTTCTAATTATGTGAATAATTCATTCTCATTGTTCTATGATGTGCGTTCATGTGACTGCATGATCTTCCAAATAGATAACGTACTAAATTTGTTAAGATTTTAACCTAATAGTACTAATAACAGTAGCTTCCTACTGATTGGTTGCTAATTGTAGATACAAAAAGATCTACCTGCAATGATGAACTCAACTCTAAAAAAGTTTAAGGATGGAATTGAAATCAATGGTAGTAAGGTATCCCTTTTTGTAGCATTTATTTCAAAAACAACTAAGTCATTATTCTAGTTGTATTTCTCTGTTTGCATTCCGGCATTCACTCTAAATAAAGTCCCGATTTTGTACTGGTATTTTAATTAATCAAAGTTTCTTCAAAATACGTGGTTCATTTTTAAATTTTATATTCTATTTGAGTTTAGATTTTAGAGAAAGTGGATTTACAAGTAAGACCGAAATTAAAGAACCTCAAGACACGACTAGATGCCCAGAACACGAGGGTAAAGATGATTTTAGAAACAGTAGAATTTCATGACGATAACAACGATTAGTGAAAATTAAAATTCGTGATCTAGCATAAAAAAAGGTTTAAGAAAGTTGCAACCTTGCCTCGGTCAGTAAAGTTATTGAGTATGGATTTGAAATTTGATCGCAAAGAGTGGGCCAGGGATATGCGGTCCTCTATTTCCAGTCGCTTCGCGGGGATACGCGGTCCTCCATTCCCAGTCGCTACGCTACAGCTATCGTATATCAACCTAGCAAACCAGATCAAGCTTTTCTTTTGTGCTGGTTCATCAATTTTATTGTTCACCAGCTAGCCGTATAGCTGCATGTTACCCTTGCTGTAACGGTACCGCTTCCTAGCAGCTGGTCAAAGCCAGTCAGATCTGTGCCATTTGTTGCATGTAATGGCCTTTTCTCGCCATAAATTGTTCGGGTATTTGATTCCATTAAAATCCTAACATGTACATTCCACACGTCAAAATGATTAACTAAGCGTTTTAAAGTGGTTCCTTGTCCTTAACGTCTGTACAGTTTCATACGCTATCTATATAGATCAGACTTGAAAAAGAGGAATTAAGACTCTTCACTAATTTACATCTCTTTAAACTAGAATTGCATTGCAAGTTGGTCCGTGTAACAGGGCTTAATTAGTTATGATAGCTAGAGCTTGTTTCAACTTCGCTTTGCGCTAATTTAAAAAGAAACTGCATGGCCAGCATCAGAAAATATGTATATCTGCTCCGACGATCAAGTATTTTGTTATTTTAGCTGTCTGAAGAACTTAAAAAGCTGGAAAATGAGGTAAAAGGAATAAAGAAGGCCTTGGGTAAAACCACAAAATGTAAGGGAAAATGCCTGTATTTAATGACAATTACTATTACAGTTACTGTATTGAAATTTCAAGCCGGCTATGGTTCATGGTATATGCATGCAAAGTTGGTGGTGGGACATTAATTTATTAATATTCTTGTAAGTTTGCATGGTGACATCCGAAATAAGTTAATTAACTTGCAGGTACGCCACGTGTGACTCTGGTTTTAAAATGATTCTGAAATAGAGTCGAAATGTCACCAACTGAATAATTGCGTGTTGTCTTTCTTATAACCAAAATCTGGGCTGGAGTTTGCAAGATGTCTTTGTATCGGAGTATGTTTCATTTTATATGACTGTGAACTATAGGGTCATTATAGTAAATCATTAAATCTCATTATCTCAATTAATTTCAGCAACCACTCCATCTCCGTTAAATTCTGAATGCGCTTCTTTGTCACTACAAAATCCGAATGGCTATAAGTGGCTGACTAATAGGAATCGTAACTATCGATACATCACTATCACACCATACTGCGATGACCACTTGTCTCAAGGTTGGTACAGATTCGGAGGGGAAGCTGGTACCCAGATTGCAACAACATGTGTGCCAAAGCGCAGATGTGGAACTCACGCCCCAGGCTGGATGACTCAAAAACATCCGACGGTTTCTGAAGGCAAAGTTACTCGTACAGTGGCTTTTCACTGGGACGGAAATTGTCGGAAATGGTCTCAAAATATCCAAGTGATCAATTGTGGGGTATATTATGTGTATTACCTTGGTCCGAGTGTTGCATGTAAATTAAGATATTGTGGTTCGTAAGTTGGGCCTTTTCAAAATTTTTGTACAATTAACTTTCACGGCTTATGAACAATTTTAACCGTTATAATAGTTATGTTTTTCGTATAATTATGTCATAACCTATATTTAACTAAAATTACAGTAAAAACAACCAGCTGATCTGAGTAAAGTAATCAACCTATCAGCCTTTTCTCCAATCAACCTATCGCTCTTTATACTATTAGCAGGAAGAACGGGGACGGAATGACTTCAGGCACGTGATAACTCGAGACACCTCATGACGTCTGATCTCAGATCAGCTGGATGCATGCACACTGATGTATCGACGCTTATCAACATTGTGATATTCCAATTAATTTTGCAATATACGTCTTTTAGTTGTGAAGGGCCATAAGAAGCCTGATTAAAGTTAAGGGGAATTTTTTTACTCCGAAACACGTTTTCCCGCATTTTGGGGTTAGATTTGACTTGCTTTAGGCCACTTTTCGACGATCATATATATTAAGGTACTTTAAGATTGACGTGTAGGCGAATTTTGACGTGCAGGTCACGGTTCCCGGATATTTTGTTCACCAATGTACGTCTGGCCGAGGAAGAATTTACCGATCAATTACATGCGGCAGGCCCCCTTGCCCACTGCCCATAAAGCCGGTTTTCCATTACGCGGAATTTTTCGATCGAACGAAATTTTTCGCTCAATTGAAAAGAAACTGATTTTCTTTGTGAGAATTCGACCGTAGCGGTTCCCTTCACCGGCCATAATTGAAAATAAAATCGTGCGAAAAATTTCGTTGGATCGAAAAATTTCGCGTAATGGAAAAAACCACCCTAATGTTGTCTTAAATTTGGACCACCGTCGGTATAACGTTGCACTCAGTTATTGTACAGAAGTTAGTTGAAAAAAGGCGAGCGCGGGGGGGTGCTTGGGGTGGGTTTGGGGTACAGTTGGGGTACTGTTGTTCACTTGTTCTCTCCAATTCAAAATTCTTAGAACGGTGCAATCAGTGAATGCGAGTTGATTTTGTATTTTGCACGTCGCTGCCAGCTTTGCAAATTTTCCAGATTGTGAGTCGTATTGTACCTGCAAATTTTCTGCAGCTTCAGATAATACAAAGACCGAGCACGCATGAACCCTTTTTAATCAAGTGTTGTACAAACGGGACTCAGTTCTAAAGTAAAAACTACTGTCGGTTTCAAATTCGTCCATTTTATCACAACAAAAATAATTGACGTAACGTCCCAGTTTACGTTGAGTTCACTGGGAAGCGAAAGAAGTAGGCATTTTGTAAGTGGAAACATAGCAACTAACAACTCAGTGAGCTGCTACAACTAGACAGCTTTTGTTTATATTCGAGGAGATTTGCGCGCGGATTATTTGACAAGTCTCATCGTGTATGTTAAATTTCGGGCTGCTGAGTGATCAAAGAGGCATAAAGATAAGGGAAACCGGAATCAGAATGGAGTGGATAAAAAGACATCTTTTCTGTTTGCTTTGTTATTGTACAGTTATCAAACACCAAGTTTATAGTTCAGGTATGATGATGACTCATCGACGAATTTTAGTTAATGTACAAGAAGCACGTACAATACAGCTGTCTTGCTCTTCTTAAATCCCCGATAATCCCAATGGCCTTTATATTTTAAACGCAAGGACATGGGATAATCGTACGCAGGGAAGAGGGTTTATTCATTCGTATTTTGAAGTATAAAATGGTGGTAATATAATACATCATCACGTTCATGAGACAACCCTCTTAAAATAGCACATTACAAATAATTATGACGCATGAGAATTTTGTCCAAACATTTGGTTCCGAAAATATTCTCACTATATACAGTCGCGCAAAAAACAATCCGCATTACCGGCAGATAGGTGACTGAACATAAGCCGGTTAAAGATATGCACTTTCAAACCGGAGATACAAATCAAAACAAGGCGGCAATAAGTTCTAATATTTAGATTTTATGTAAAATCATAGACGGTCTGAAGTGTTACAATAGCCGTCTTATACACACCTAAAAATCTCACATCTTGTTGACAACTTGTTGGCTCAACAAGCTTGTAGCAAGCTTGTTGACAAGTTGTAACAAGCTTGTTGAGACAACAGGTTGTAGCAAGCTTGTTGACATCAAGCTTGCTACAACTTGTTGGCTTGCAGACTTGTAGCAAGTTGTTGGAACAACTTGTTCCAAGCTTGTCGACAACAAGCTGTACCAAGCTTGTTGGAGCAACTTGTTGACAAGTTGTTATAGTCATCAAGTTGTAACAAGCCTGTCACAACAAGCTTGTACGAAGGCTGCGCGTGACAATGCTGTAACAAGACAGTTCCAACAAGTTGTAGCGACATTGTTAACGGCAAAAGTTTTCCGATAACAACAAAATCAATTTGAACTGGGCCAAATATGATTTTATTGATCATTGCCATTCATCAAATGGCAAAAGCAAGATCAACGAGCTTTTAAACACTTTAACACTCTGCAACGAAGTTCATAACTTCTTTTAGTAATAAGATTTGAAAAAATCCGAATTCTTTGAAAACATTACAGATGAACATTTCCTTGTTTCAAGGATATCTATAACCGTTGAACCGTTGAGGAAGTGACGATTTCAACGGAGTAATCTCATTGGTTCAGACTCTGTTTAAACTATGTATAACTGATCTTATTGGTTGAAATATACGTCAGTATATTTGCAAATTTCCCTGCTCTTTTCAAGAGTTCACTGATTCACCTGGTCATTGAGCTATCTTTGTGCCAAAACCTTTGATTTTTTAAGCCTTTAAAAGTTTAATAAACGTTGAAATATCAGTTAAAACGGATGGGCAACTTAAAAAAGTTTGAAGAAACTACAGTTCGACGTTTTAATAAAGGTATGTGCGTTTAATTCATCCAAATATTTGATATGGCGTACACAACGCCGGCAACACAATTTATTATAGTACACAAGCTAGCCTTTTAAAACTATATAGTTTTTAAAATATTTGTTGAATTTATTGCTTTTTATAAACATTGAACTGTTAGTTTCTGTGGATATTTATCAAAATCGAAACTTTGCCGGTTTTTTGTATTCAATAATTCAAATATTTTTAATGACGAGTAGGTGTACGGTAAAGTGTAAAATTTCCAATTTTTAATATCTGTGCGTATGTTTTTAGCATGCTCTGATTAGAAATAATAATATATATTTACGTATTATGGTAATAAAGTATTTGTACATTACTTATTTGACATTAGACTTGGATGGCAAGCAACACCCTCGCCACAGCAGACAGGATGGAGTTTCCTCAACGTATTTGCAAACCAGTTTCCTCAAATATTTGCATATTTTTTAAAATAACTTATTCCTGAAGCCAACAAACTGGAGCTAAACTGAGGTATTGGCCGGAAAGTCGTATCAAACAGAGTGAATTATAGGAAAGAGGTGCAGCTAGCTGTTGATTCTTGGGATGACGAAGTCAATTCAACAAGTGACTGAAATACTGGTATTATACAAGAATATTCATGCACCAGTTAATTTTTACCATATGAATGCAAAGAAACTTTTCTTACGAACTGATTATTAGGCTATATACTCAGAAAGGAAAATACATATGTTCTTGTACTGAGCCTTTAGTAATCTTGGTACTTCAAATGTGAAGTTTGTATTTAATTGCTAACCTTTGAATTTGTTTTTAAAATAATATGATTTTTACATCAAACTTTGTGTTGTTTGTTCTTTGTTTCACCGGCAATCTCCGGGAAAACACGCGTGTTTTCAAGCGAGATTTAATGCGCGGCCATGTTTGCAGCAAGCTTGTCGCGACAAGCTTGTAACGGCCTTGTTATAACAAGCTTGGAACAGCTCAAGTTCAACAAGCTTGTAGCAAGTTGTTGTCAGACTTGTAGCAAGCTTGTTGGCAACAACCTTGGTACAGCATTGTCACAACAAACTTGCTACAAGTCTGACAACAACTTGCTACACGTCCGTCACAACAACTTGGGACAAGCGGTGCGAATAAATCTTGCAACAAGCTTGTTGAAACGAGCTTGCGACAAGCTTGCTGCAGGCTTGTTACAACTCGTGCGTTTTTACGTGTGTATGATATACAGCTTGGTCACGCGAGGATCACGAGTTCTGTCGAGGGTCGAGGATAAAGTCATTGTTGTACCAAATTTGCTACTCTAAGTTAACAACCGGACAAGCTGAAAAGTTAGCTTAAACCAGCAACATTTGGTTTGCTAGTCCATAAGCTACACACGTAAAAACGCACAAGTTGTAACAAGTCTGCAGCAGACTTGTAGCAAGCTTGTTCCAACAAGCCGATATCAGGTTGTGTTCGCACTGCTTGTCCCAAGCTTGTTGTGACGGACTTGTAGCAAGTTGTTGACAGACTTGTAGCAAGTTTGTTGTGACAATGCTGTACCAAGGTTGTTGCCAACAAGCTTGCTACAAGTCTGACAACAACTTGCTACAAGCTTGTTGAACTTGAGCTGTTCCAAGCTTGTTATAACAAGGCCGTTACAAGCTTGCCGCGACAAGCTTGCTGCAAACATGGCCGCGCATTAAATTTCGCTTGAAAACACGCGTGTTTTCCCGGAGGTTGTGAAACAAAGAACAAACAACACAAAGTTTGATGTAAAAATCATATTATTTTAAAAACAAATTCAAAGGTTAGCAATTAAATACAAACTTCACACTTGAAGTACCAAGATTACTAAAGGCTCAGTACAAGAACATATGTATTTTCCTTTCTGAGTATATAGCCTAATAATCAGTTCGTAAGAAAAGTTTCTTTGCATTCATATGGTAAAAATTAACTGGTGCATGAATATTCTTGTATAATACCAGTATTTCAGTCACTTGTTGAATTGATTTCGTCATCCCAAGAATCAACAGCTAGCTGCACCTCTTTCCTATAATTCACTTTGTTTGATACGACTTTCCGGCCAATACCTCAGTTTAGCTCCAATTTGATAATCAAATTCCTATAAAGTACAATGGCTATAAATATACAATAAGTAAATAAATTAGAATAAGTAAATTCCTATAAATATACAATGGCTTCAGGAATAAGTTACTTTAAAAAATATGCCAATATTTTTGAGGAAACTGGTTTGCAAATACGTTGAGGAAACTCCATCCTGTCTCCTGTGGCGAGGGTCTTGCTTGCCATCCAAGTCTAATGTCAAATAAGTAATGTACAAATACTTTATTACCATAATACGTAAATATATATTATTATTTCTAATCAGAGCATGCTAAAAACATACGCACAGATATTAAAAATAGGAAATTTTGCACTTTACCGTACACCTACTCGTCATTAAAAATATTTGAATTATTGAATACAAAAAACCGGCAAAGTTTCGATTTTGATAAATATCCACAGAAACTAGCAGTTCAATGTTTATAAAAAGCAATAAATTCAACAAATATTTTAAAAACTATATAGTTTTAAAAGGCTAGCTTGTGTACTATAATAAATTGTGTTGCCGGCGTTGTGTACGCCATATCAAATATTTGGATGAATTAAACGCACATACCTTTATTAAAACGTCGAACTGTAGTATTCTTCAAACTTTTTAAGTTGCCCATCCGTTTTAACTGATATTTCAACGTTTATTAAACTTTTAAAGGCTTAAAAAATCAAAGGTTTTGGCACAAAGATAGCTCAATGACCAGGTGAATCAGTGAACTCTTGAAAAGAGCAGGGAAATTTGCAAATATACTGACGTATATTTCAACCAATAAGATCACTTATACATAGTTTAAACAGAGTCTGAACCAATGAGATTACTCCGTTGAAATCGTCACTTCCTCAACGGTTCAACGGTTATAGATATCCTTGAAACAAGGAAATGTTCATCTGTAATGTTTTCAAGGAATTCGGATTCTTTTCAAATCTTATTATTAAAAGAAGTTATGAACTTCGTTGCAGAGTGTTAAAGTGTTTAAAAGCTCGTTGATCTTGCTTTTGCCATTTGATGAATGGCAATGATCAATAAAATCATATTTGGCCCAGTTCAAATTGATTTTGTTGTTATCGGAAAACTTTTGCCGTTAACAATGTCGCTACAACTTGTTGGAACTGTCTTGTTACCGCATTGTCACGCGCAGCCTTCGTACAAGCTTGTTGTGACAGGCTTGTTACAACTTGATGACTATAACAACTTGTCAACAAGTTGCTCCAACAAGCTTGGTACAGCTTGTTGTCGACAAGCTTGGAACAAGTTGTTCCAACAACTTGCTACAAGTCTGCAAGCCAACAAGTTGTAGCAAGCTTGATGTCAACAAGCTTGCTACAACCTGTTGTCTCAACAAGCTTGTTACAACTTGTCAACAAGCTTGCTACAAGCTTGTTGAGCCAACAAGTTGTCAACAAGATGTGAGATTTTTAGGTGTGTAGTCCAATCCTCTTCTGACTGAACGTCGTCACCTATATATAGTAGCTCAGTTCATTTGATTGAAGATCATTGGACTTGTAGTAACAGAAAGGCGTGGGTTCGATTAGGACGAGTTTGATTCCCAGGGCTTGATAAAATCTTTTTCTTCTTGGCAGCAGGTCCCCGACACAAAAAATTTCCTGCCAAATTTAAACTTCCCGCAGCAATAAAACGGGTATTTTTATGTTCATTAACTTAATTTCAAAATCAATGTGTGCACAATAGTATAGAGTGACATAGTGTACACTACATAGTATAATATGAGTATGAGCTCACTCATACTGTACATACTATATATTATTATTGTTATTATTATTATATAGTATGGTTCAACTTAATCTTTGAACTGTATAAGTCTAAAATCTAAACTACACCATTCTGGCATTTTCAACGCGAATTTCTGCATTCACATAAACATTATAACAACAATACAATGGGGATAGCAACGTGGTTGTGTCCTTGTTAAGAAGATTATATTATTTCAAACTGCTAGGACAGTAGGACATGACAACACATAGTATATTTACTCTGAGATCAGAAAAAATTCTAATTTTTTTTGTTAATATTTTGGGTTACCCAAAAAATTTCCTGGAAGGCCAAAAAATTTCCTGGCAGCATGCTGCTGTGCTACCGGACTTTTTCAAGCCTTGTAATGATTCCCATCGTGATAAAGCAAAATTTTCAACTTGCCCGGTTGATAACTCAGAGTTGAACCATCGCGATTTCAATTCACCTTAAGGCCTGTTTACACTTGCGATTTTTTCCGCGATTTTCTTCTTTTGCTTGCCTTAATGCTTTTACAAGGATATAAAGTCAAAGTGTGTACAAGGACGTAATATTTTAATGCTTGTTTCATCTGCTGTTTTTGTAAGGGCTAGGGTCAAGTCGCAGACAATAGCAGTTGCATTGCGAGATATAGTTAAGTTTTTTGATCGTCAATGATCGATAACAATCGACTTTAGTCTTTAGCTATGCATTAGGGTAGTTAGTGTTGCAGCTCCTCGCAAGAATGATTTTCATTGGCTGAACTTTACAATACATTTCTGTTTGAACCATTAGCATAGCTTCGTCCTTTAGAAAGCACAGAAGAGAGCTTCCGAGCTCTAGCTGCGACATGTCCCAAGTTTGAAGCTAATATGGCGGACATTGCATGAAGCTTTTCTTGTAGGTATGATCCGGGTCTCCACGCGGAAATTTCGTAGGTAAAATGGCGGCAATTATGGTTTACCTTTGAAATTTCCGCGCCAGAGGCCTGGATCATACCTACAAGTGAGGCTTCATTGTCCGCCATCTTGGCTTCACTCATCAGTGAGGGAAAGTCAGAAAGTGCATGAGCGTTCCAGTTTTATTTGAGTTCGCTGCCTGAGCCTTACTAATTATTTAACCGGCAATAACTGGGTCCGAAATTTAATTTCACACTTTCTTAATAATTGTTTTTCTTTTCCCTTGTCTAACAATTGATGTTTTGCAATTATAGGTTGTCCGAAAAACTGGCGACAATACAATGGATTTTGCTATCTGTACACCACATATTTTAAGCCACATGACCAGGGACAACATTTTTGCGAAAATTTTCTGCAAGGTTCGCTAGTCGATGTCGCTGATGAATCAGAAAATATGCTCATTAGTAATCTTACTTCGTCGAAAGCCTGGCTACGATTCAGACGATGTCATAATCAGAGATTCTATTGGACAGATTCCTCACCTGCTAATTTTACTGCCTGGGAGAGAGGCCAACCTGATAACAAGGGCGAAGACGAGCAGTGCGTGTTTATGTCGAGAAATGGAAATTGGTCAGACGGAATTTGTTTGGAAAGGAAAGCTTTTGTTTGCCAAAATTGTGCGTCAGCAATATGTGATGTTTACATATTTCTTTACTTTTCCTTGAAGTTTCTTCCTATATGAAATATAGCTAGTAAAGAATAATAAATGAATACTCAACTGTTTATTTATCTTCTCCACGGCCGTATGACGTTTTGCATGCCTTTAAGGTCAAAATTGATTTATTAATAATTTTAAAAATTTTCATCCATGCTTCTTGGCGAAACTTGTGAAAAGATCGATGTGTGATTTACATATTATACACATGTGCATCAACAAATGAAAGATGTCAGGAGAAAATTTTCGTTGGGAAGTTCCTTAGTTTGTGCGGGGCCTGAAAAGGGTAAAAAATACGTTGGCTTTGCTTTGTTATATCGCTTCTTTTCCATTTCAGTTAAAATAAACTGCACCAAAATCCAAGATTGTTATGTTGTGAAAACTCTTCCGGCAAAATGGCACGAAGCAAGATCAAAATGTCAAGCAGATGGATTTCGGTTGGCAAAAATTTCCAATATCATCGAAAATAATGCCATAAAATCACTTCTCAAGGGAGTGCGCCAAGCATGGATAGGTTTAGAAAGGCAGAATATTTTCTGCTTTAAAGATAAAATATCCTACCAAAATTGGGATTTTCACGAGCCGAACGACAGAGCCTTGGTGGAGAATTGTGTCGCAATTGGTAATAACGGAAAATGGAGCGATGAAGATTGTAATTCAAGTTTAGCTGTCATCTGCAGGAGAGGTAGAGCTATACATACAGCTCGTCGCAATTCAATTCAACCATCTTTTTTTGCCAAAATAAGATTGGGTTTTTTTTAGTATTGATTGACTGTTGCATCTCAATTTTTTGTTTTTAACCTAAACCACTGCAAATAAGATTTTCAGTTGCCAACCAATGCATGAAATTGAAAAAGGACTATTAAATTGTTGGTGCACAATTATGGGCAAATTCTTTTTATACAACCTGCATGTTTCATGGAGCAAGCCAATCAGATTGTTGTTCGCAACCAGAGGAATAGTAATTAATTTCTGTCATTTTGATGCATAGATAATACTGTTGTATTTACACTTTTAGATCTTGATGAATGTATTCACAAAGAGGCTAGTGGATGCGATGAAAACTCTGTGTGTAGTAACACTGCAGGCTCGTTTACATGTAGCGAGTGTAAAAATGGATATTCACGTGATGGAAATTCATGTTCACGTGAGTATCGAGTGCTCGATTCTACAAATTGCACGAGACTGAATTTATAAAGGAAACAAAAAAGCTGCTTTCTTTGAACAGGTTTTTATAGGATTAATATCGTTTAAATTCCCGGTTTCAAGATTATTGGTTACAGTTATGTGCTAAAAATAAGGTTTAAATGTGGTTAGGTGTTTTGTTAGAGCCTGGTAAAGGGGTAAACGTTAGGAATGGGATAGAATTATGTGCGGGTATATAAAACAAGGTGGGAACAGTGAACTCTATACAACTGGAACGTTAACTCCTGAAAAAATTCCCTATATTCAGCTTGAAGTCAAAATAGTTTTTCTGAGTTTTGAGATGAAATACTTGACGCCAGACGTTGGGCTGTGTGTCAAATTAAAGCTATTGAAAAGTTATATTTGGTGTAGAAATTTCAAGACTTAAACTACAAAGAAAATATTTTAAAAAACAAAAACAATTACCAAACGGTAAAAACCGAGAAATTTTGAAATATTTTTTAGATATTTTAAGGTAAAGTCTCGAAATGTCTACACGAAATGTAACTCTTTAATAGCTTTAATTTCATATACGGCTCAACATTTGGCGTCAAATATTTAAGCTCATAGTCAGGAAAAGTAAAAAGCACTGGCTTCACCCCGCCCCTGAGTTATCGTTCCAGTTTGTTTACAGTTCAATGGGTGGGATAGATATGAGTTTTGGATTTTGTTGCATGGGGAGGGGTTGGGTGGGATCTAGAGTGGGAGTGGGAATGAGGTATACTAATAATGGGTTAAATGCAGGTGCAAGTCAACGAGCAATCAAACTAAATGGATCAACCCTTCGTTATTTGAAATATTTTTTCTTTTCTTTCATATTCAGGTAAATATACAGCGGCGATTATTCTTGGCACTCTTTTTGGAGTTTCCTGTTTGATTATTCTCTTTTTATGCTGTTACGTCTTGAGAAAGAAGAAACGATGGATCTAAAAAACCAACAGTAAAATGTGCATTTTATATAAAGAACAAGAAACTATTCACAAAAAATGAACTATATTCAAAAGATAGTACAGTCGCGGCGATATCTAGAAGCGGTCTAAAAATTTTTTTGCAATTGTCACCGATTGAGTGATGGGGTGCAATAAAATATTTTATGAAAATCCTTGAAAAACACCACGTTTCCATGCCAGTAACCGTGCTTTTATTGACCAATCAAAATTTTACTTGTCACGATTGAGTTTTGACTAGAGAGCGGAGAGTAAAGGATTACCAAATGGTTTTCAGCACGGAAAAAACATTTGGTACTTGTTTTATAAAATAACTACAGTGCAACAACGATATTTTCAAAATCCCGCGAGTGCTTTTAAATTTCTCGTGCAGGATTGCCTATCCTGCACGGCTATCAGTGACCAATGAAATTGTGTGTTTTAGTGTAGTTATTAGGTTAAAGAAGTTCTCTTCTTGGGCAATTCTGATTGGTCAATGAACAGGAGTTTTGGTTCTTTTTTAAGGGGTTTTCAAAAATATCAAAAAATATTCAGAACAACCCTATTCAGCTTGAAATCAAAATAGTTTTTCTGAGTTTTGAGTTTTTCTGAGTTTTAATCGCGTAGATTAAAAGATAAATGCAAACCAATAGATTACTCCCATTTTTAATTTTCGTTATCCTCCTATGGCCGCGACTGTAAACAGTCTGAAATAATCGTGCATAGATTAGTTTTCATTGTCGCATTCATTTTCTGTTTTCAAACAAAATTCGTAATTAAGAAACATGGCGTAATGTCAATCCTAAAAAAATCGGGTGAAAAACATCAACACCGAGCAGATGAAAAAAATATTGAGTCATTGAAATTAAATTTAAGGCGTGGAAATTTTATGTTTAGAATTTCCTGTGAACTATACTTTACATTTACACGTGTTTTTCAAATTAAGATAATTAAATATTAAAACGTAATGGTCAGGATAGGTCACTGATGAACCAAAATGGTAAGGGTAGGAATTGTGTTGATAAAAAATACAAAAACTCTTTTACTAAGAGTTTATATAATAAGCTTACCTAGCCAACACAGCCCAGTGAACTCAAATGAGACTGGAACGCTTACTCTGTCGGAAGTTTGAAGCCAAGATGGCGGACACTGAAGCCTTTCTTGTAGGTATGATCCAGGCCTCCACGCGGAAATTTCGTAGGTAAAATGGCGGCAATTTTTATTTTTAGAATTTCCGCGCCAGAGGCCTGGATCATACCTACAAGAATGCTTCATGATCCGCCCTCTTGACTTCACTCATTAATGAGGGAAAGTCAGAGAGTGAGCGTTCCCGTTTTATTTGAGTTCACTGACACAGCCTCGTACCCAGGCGTTTTCAATGGGCGCCGACCATCCTCGTTTCCAGGTTTTCCGCGTACTGCTTGTGCCGATTGATGTCACAGTATTCAAAGCATTGAAGCGTCTGAGGACGAGGCTGAATCAAGGAGCAGCGTAAATAGCATCTTATCTCAACAACTTCACATCAAATGTAATATAGTAAGTGACTGAAATAGACAAAGTTTCTACCCATTAGATATCCCTTCCTTTGTTACTTATGAATTCTAGACAAGCTTATAAGCGGACTAATAAGAGCACTAGCAGATAGTTCTGACATTGAACTATTTTAGTCCTGACATTATATATTGACATTATAGAGGCTAATTTATTTCACTGGAACTGTCTTCTCCGAGCAGGCCCTTTCTCTGGGCAAATTTGAAGGCTTTCATATTTTGCAGTTGGAAATTTGGAAAGGAAACCCGCCTTTTTTTAACCAGTCGGAGATGGTAGAGTACTTTGTCCAATATGCCGAAATGAATAGAATTACTGTAAGGATTTGGTCTTCATATTATTCACTGAAGAGAAGGTACGTTACAGTGTAACACGAAAGAAGGTGCCAAATTGCATCGATTTCCCACCAAAAAAAGGTTGAAAGAGGCCATTGAGGTTACTTTACATTTGCCTTAAGTTGCCTTGTTGAATGGTTAACCCAATTAATCACTGGTTAAAAAACACAAAAATCATTGTTAAAAATAATACATTTGCACCAGCCCAGCAAAACAAGTTAAACAACCAAACGTACGAATCAACATTAATAGTTGGGCTGTCTTGAATATATCCCAATATAACCAGGGAGCATCGTGGCAGCGTCTTCAAATAACCTAGCATGAAATGTGGTATAACAACTGTCTAAAATAGTCAAAAACACTTCTCGACGTTTCGACCTGAGGCCCTTCGTCAGGGGAGTTAGTGAACTCTCTGACTGGAATATACACACACATTGTTGTGTTTTTTTACTGGACAGTTAAAGTATTAAAGAACAATTCGTTTTAAATGATATTTAATCAAAAGTTTCTTACATAAACATGATCAAATTTTACCAAATCCAGTTTGGAATTTGGATTACCAGTACGTAACTTCGCCACGCCCCTCCCACCAACACCTACCAAAAATAGTTGCTTGGCAACATTCTGGGGACACGTGCTTGGTGCGTGGAATCCTTGAGGGCGATCTTGTTGTTGAACTGATATTGCTTCAATAGTGGTTTCATACAGCATTTTTACATCCCATAATGATAATCGCAGAAATGAATTTGATAATAAAGAGCTATGTCAAATGCTGCGTGATGGCTGAATGATTTATACTCGAATATCAATGGATCGGACGAATTGATAAGAAAGAATTTAGTGGCCAATCTATAAAAGCCACTCTCTTTATACTGTCTTAATTTAGAACATGTTTCTTTATAGTCTTATTATTAGATTCAGACATTTTTATTCCTTTGCGATTTCAAGATGAAGGCGAACATTTCAAACTGTTTATGTGGCTTGAATATTGCTTCAAAGCTCTTGCGATCCCAAATGAAATTTTCAAACAAATGGAATGGGAGTGTACGCACTGGAGTGTTGAATATGGCCATATTGTCCTCATCAGCCAAGGAAATATCTCCGCAAACAGTGAAAAGTATCGAGAATTATTTCAAGCAAAAGGATATAAAATTTCAACATGGTCATACAACAATCATGGCAAAGTGTCCATTTTGTGCTAACAAATCCAGTAATGTTTCCAAGATGTCAGCGCATCCGGATCAGGGAGCATTCAGTTTGTTTGTGAACAAAATGACTGGAAGTCACATTTGCAACAGTTGTGGCACCTCAGGAACCTGGCAACAACTAAAGGTAGGAATTAGAAATTGTTGTATAATTCGTCAACTCTATACACAAGATGCCCGTGCCAAGATGTGCCACTTAACTGATGATGTTTTCATCTACACTTTGCTATATTTTTATTATATGCATCTTTTGAGTAATAACTATATAATTATTAATGAATTTTGATAAGTAATATAATTATTATTATTATAATTATTATTATTATTATTGGTGTGATTATCTTCTACTAATGTCTTCACTGACTAAAAGTGTGTTTACACTAGAGGCCTAGATCTTGCCTAGACCAGGTCTAGGACAAGTCTAGGTAAATAGGTGCCACCTACAGTCTTCCTTGATGGATGATATCGGGTAGCCAAAATAACTAACAAAATACTTGGAACAAGACCCAAAACATGCCGAAAAGTGGTAATACTAGTATGGATCCTATATGGATCATAGTACTATTAAGTTGAAAATTTGTCAGGACTCGGTAAATCCTGCTCAGATTACCAAAATCGTGCCCCAGGTCAGGTCCAGGCCACCTTTTTACTGTCGGCCTGGATTTTGTGGCCAATATTCCCTTACTGGAAAATACTGTAGGAATTTTGTTTTACCATTTTGTTTAACTCTTTCTCTCAATTTACTTAATTGCCATTTAACAAAATAAATTAGTATAAATGATATACAACAAAGTCATGATAAACCAATAGTTCCAAGTACAAAGAATACATATATTACTGAATGCACAGCACACATGAAACACACAAGAAGTATGCTGTATGTTGTCCTTATGCCTTAATTAATGTCTTAATTCTACTAAAAGCTCTTATTGTGACAAAAATTAATAGTTATAATGCCAATTTCATGTGGTATAAGAAAATATATACCTGGGTAGTTACTATAATTTATTTGGACAGATAGCCTGTTATATATAGTGACATTGTTAATTAGTTTTACAAGATTTTTAATTAGATTGCTAAAGTACTGTATGTACGTTCCAATATAACCAGGGAGCTGCTTGGCAGCGTCTTCAAATAACTTAGCATCAAATGTGGTATAATAACTGCCTAAAATAGACAAAAACACTTCTCAATGTTTCTACCCGAGGCCCTTCATCAGGAGGGTTAGTATCATACTAGTTAACTCTCCTGATGAAGGGCCTCAGGTGGAAACGTCAAGAAGTGTTTTTGTCTATTTTTAGACAGTTGTTATACCACATTTGATGCTAAGCTAAAGTACTGTATGGTCTATGATATATTTATGGTCTTATTTCATATTAAAGTGGGCATAGTTTTCCCATCAGACAATAACACTGGCATTTAGGTGTATAATTTTGACCCATCAACTGGTTTTACTCTATCACTACGCATTTAGGCACCTTAAGATGCACCAAATCTACAACACAGACGTGAAGTATTACTGCAGTTTCACAACAGGGATAAAATTTATAGACTTTTTGGTAAAGAAAGTCAGAACCGTATTGAAAGCAGCACGTAAAACAGATTAAAACTGGATTAAAGCTGAACACTAGCAGCTGTTTTCATGTCACGTCTGTGTCGTAGATTTGGTGCATCGATCTTAAGGTCTATATTGTAATTTGGAACTCACAAACTTAGAATGTGAAAATTTGCAAAATTGTTTATTTATAGAATAAATAGACAAGCTGAACATGCTAAAAAAATAAAAAAATGGAATTTGTTATATATGTGATCCTTATAACTTGCTATCCTATTTTTTCCTGATCTGTCAACAACTCAATATGTAATAATGTATATAACCATGCAAGTGAATCTGCTGTATTATATGCTGTAAATTGAAGAACAATGTTGCAGTGGTGACTTATATATATATATATATATATATATATATATATATATATATATATATATATATATATATATATATATATATATATATATATATATATATATATATATATATATATATAATATTGTCAGACATCTAATGTCATAGTTGAAGAATGCTTAGTTGTTTTTCACCAATCTCACCAAAGCATTAGTCTGATGAACTATCACGGAGCAATGTTTACATGTAGTTATACATTTACTCTTACTGGCCCAACAAAGAGTTTGATTATTTACAAAATGGCTGGCAAATTGCATATGTTATTCTCAAAATTAGCATCAATATATTTATTAGTTTACTGGCAAGTGCATTAACATGTTAAGACTTCTAGTGTCATACAGTAGTTGATGAACAACCACCATTGTGTGTTGTCCCCTAATAAACCATTAAATGCATTTCCCTGTGTTTTAAAAGTTTAATCAGAAATAAATTACCAATGAGTTGGAATTAGATTTGGAGAGCTTATTCCAAGGCCTTTATTTATGTAATCAATTGTTATGGTCTGTAATTGTAATGTATGTAGTAATTAATGATACAAAAAACTCTTGCTGAATAACACCTAATGTACAGTAGAATGTTCTGCATTAGATAAGTGGAACATTGGTAATTTCCTATCAATTTTTTATAGACTTGGGTGTCTGAAGAGAATATTACAAGCAAACCAAGTGAGTTAACTTCAAGCAATGATGAAGGAGAACAAGAGAAAGTTTTAAATCTTTGGGAAAAGACAAAACCTTTTGGTGAATGTAAAGAATCATTGAGAAGATACATTGTAAAAAAGGTTGAAATTCAGGTATAAAATAATAAATAAACAATGTGGCAGGCAAGAAGAGGGTCAAGGCCTGTAATATGTCCCCCCAAAATATTTTCAGAAAGCTATATAATTGGCAGTTGCAGACAAGGTTAAATGAAAAGGAACTAAAATATTCTGTGCCTAGTGTGCTCTGAGTGGCTACAACTCCCAGGATAGGCCTAGAAATCTCTTGCAAATATGATCAGCTGGCCAGGCAACCAATTTTTATGGGGCCTGTGGTTGGTTCTCACCAGATTTGATTGCAGACAAAAATATAATTTTAAGCTTTGTTTGAGGGACCCAGGTGTGATGTCATCATTAAGGATTAGTCTGATTACTTATAATGAATCAGAAACCAAAATGTCCAGCATAATAGCTGCAGCGGCCGTATCACTTTGTACTTTAGCTACAGTAAATTTATAACCCCATATCAGACCCAGGACTATGCAGGAAATGACTAATTGATTTGCAGGTCCCAGTTATATTGTACGTATGTACTGTACAAGGCACAGCATTGTGGACGGTAATTTGAGCAACCACTATACGCCAATGCACTAGTCATAGCACTATTTTGTTGTATTTGTCACTCTATTGGCATGTACGGGGATCGTTCAAACTTCGATCGACCCTATTTGCAATGTACAGGTATTTGTAGTCTGACTATAAATACCTGCGACCACGCTGGATGTTTTACGTACAGACGCAAGATGTTTTATGTACAGGATATTTTGTACAGTATATGCGAGGCAATACATCTAAGTCTAAAACATATTTTAAAAACGTATTTGTTGCCCAAAACCCGTTGCAGTCTCAAGTTAATTTACCGAACATGTATCTGTCAACGTGGCGAAGATGATTGACAATACATCGCCGTGATTAATAATAAATCCGAGACGCTTGCTCGTAATACACAGGATTGTTTAAGTAAATCCCCTTAAAGTATATTACTTTGATATTATCCTGAATTACCTCTTTTAAGTTCCTATCCAATGTCAATGCTGCAATTGCTAAGCATTTGCAAAATGTCACTCCATGAGTTGATGAAAGTCAGCTGTTTTTTAGAAGATACAATTGTGCCATATTGTCAAGCACCAGCTCTGTTTAGCCTCGTCCGTCGAGTTTCAGCATACTCACGTAGACATCAGTTTCCTTTTCAATACACCACGGCTACATCTGAGTTCTTCAGACTGCTTATATGTATAATGTAGCATTGGCCATTTCGACGTTTTAGAAGAGAACACGTTGGTTTTATGGGGGGGGGGGGATTAACGAACTGCATTGGGGCGTGGATAAAAGGTTCGACTACAAGAAAGCCCCATGATGCATGTCAATCTTGCTATTTCCAGTTTCCTACCACAGCCTCGGAATGGTTACGTAGTTCTTATGCATTGTTCTCCGTTAGACTAGTGTTATTAAAATTTTAATTGATTACCATACATTTATTCTGTTTCAATTGCAGCCTTTGTCTTCTGCAACCTTGAAGTTCTACAGAGTGCATACAATTCTACACAAGGTAAGAAACCTTTTAACAAGGCCAAAGTAAGACTTGTTCTCGGCATAAGCAATATGTAGAACTTAGCCGGGGTTCACACTGTCAAGGTTTCTTTGGCCAGTTGGAATTTTGCGTTGCTATTTGTACGCTTGAAGTATTTGCTGGAAATATTTGGGTAACGTACGACCTCTCGCTTGACCTCTCGTATAAGCAACTAACTAGTACAGTCACCAATGGTGAAAACGACAGTGAAACATTAGCAAAATCACTGAACCTTGTTCAATAGACCTTGGTAATATTGACTAGTTTGGAGGGTATAGCTCTGTTAGTCAGGTGACGCACGCCACGAGCACGGAGCTAACCAATGAACTCTAAATAGACTGAAACGATATCTCGGCCAGCATCTTTGAAGCGAAATTGTCGGCCGCCTTTAAAGGTTTCAAACTGAAAAGCACCGCGTAAAATGCGTCATTTTACTTACACAAATGCATTAAAGGCTTTTAGTTCCGGCGATTTATTAGAAGCAGGGCCGTAGCTGGAAGCTTAATTTGGTTGGGGGGGGGGGGTAAATATTCGTATATATATATATTCGTCTTATGCCCGATTGATTTCTTTTGTTTTTATGGTATGTAAACATGAATATATGAATATGTTCCCCCAATTACGCGGTCTAGCTACGGCTCTGAATACAAGAACGTTCAGACCCAACCGACTTGAAACTTTATCGCCGACCTGAAATTTTTTCTCCTACCCGAAAACGTTTTCATATTTAGTATACAAAATAAACTTAATTTTAACTGAATACTTGCTATAGTCTTTCTTATCATGTAAACGTTTTTCTTAGCATATATTCCAATGTAATACTCAGGTCTGTAGTTAGATCGTTTAATTGAAAGGGGTGTATTCGTATATTCATGTTTATACATACCGTGTTCTTATTAAAATCGACAACCTTAGTTTTCAGCTCCTGATGGGTCACAGAAACAACAGCTATGCCTTGCATTTCCTTGGTACAACTTCGAACGAGAAAAATTATGTGGAATTAAACTCCACAAAGCGAAGATGAAACTACAGGAAGAAGGTGTTGGAGCCCTGGAACCAAGGTACGTATTGTGCTGTACTTTTTGTGATACAATACGCGGTTCTGGCGCAGGCATTCCCAGCATTTTAAACTTGTTCAATTTCATCCATTTCATTCATACTGAAAACGTCTGTTCAAGGTTGGGATTTCAATACCGAATTCGGCAAAAGTTTTAAACATCACTCCTACTATTAATCTGTAATTGTACTCGTCAAGGCATGCTTTATATACTAATTACAGTATTTGTACCAATATCTTGTTTATACTTTGTAGACATGGTCTTCCAAGTATGTTTGGTTGGCATACGGTGCCTTCGCATGTCAAAGAGATTGTTCTCACGGCGGACGAGTTCGACGCAATGGCTATTTATCAAGCTACGTCGTTTCCAGCCATTTCACTTCCTTTGGGACTCTCGTCTCTCCCGCCGGAGGTATGTAGGGCTAATTTTTATTCCTTTAGAGTTCATTAAGAGAGAGACGACCTGTTTTTCCATAAGCCAGCATCGTAGAACCGTTTAGATATAATCCATTGAAAATACAAGAAGATATTAATACGATTCAGGCCCTTTGGAAATTGTTATTGACGTAGATCTATATATACCGTAGATCTATATAAACCGTAGATCTATTTAAACCGTAGATCTATATATACCGTAGATCTATATATACCGTAGATCTATGTAAACCGTAGATCTATATATACCGTAGATCTATGTAAACCGTAGATCTATTTAAACCGTAGATCTATATATATACCGTAGATCTATATATACCGTAGATCTATGTAAACCGTAGATCTATATATACCGTAGATCTATGTAAACCGTAGATCTATATATACCGTAGATCTATGTAAACCGTAGATCTATATATACCGTAGACCTGTAGTTATCAGAGTGATCGTAAGCTAATATAGGGGCTGTTAAAATGATCCCGCTTAGCCGAGATTCAACGAAGCATACTGACTTCGTGGTATTGAAATGAGTATATAGCATGATCCTGGTTTTAGCATGGATCCTGGATCCATGTTTTACCTTAAACCTTTCCATTGATTAAGAAAGGACTATCTTATTGGTTGGTGATAAGTAATAACACAATTTCTATGTCACACTCCAAAAGTGCAAATGCGAACGCAGGCGTATTGCCGAAATTTAGATTCAGCAGGACCTCTGAAGATTTTTTGAAACTTTTATTTAAGGTTCTGCCTCATCTTGAACAGTTTGAGAAAATCATTTTGTGGTTCCGCAATGACGTCAGATCTCGGCAAGCAGCCAATAAATTCGCAAGAAAACTCAATATTCAAAGATGTCATTTCGTCAGGTACAGTACATGTGAACGTAATCCGTATTCAAAAATGACGAACTGAAAGCAAGGTTTGTGTAGGAAGATATGGCATACATTACGTACATGCTTTATTGAACTGGAATAAAGTCGCCGTATATCAAGCTTCCGATTTTTATGTTGTTTCTATAGAATGGAAACCAGTGGGCCAGCAAGTGCTTTAGATGCTCTAAGAAGAGTAAGTCGGTTGCATGAATACCAAGCAACTGCATACAGTATGTGTTACGATTCCATTAGAAGTGTTTACTGGCTTCGTGTTAGCGAAAAAAGTATAGTTGCCGAGTTACTTGCACATTTACGATTGGGACATGTCGCAGCTCTCTATGCTTTCTAAAGAACGAAGCTATGCTATTGGTTGAAACAGAAATGTATTGTAAGTTCATCCAATGAAAATTATTCTTGCGAGGAGCTGCGACACTACCCTTAGAATTTCATAATGATAATTTAAGTAGACGGAAATGTAGTCAAACATGTGTATTTACAAGATGTTTGTGTGATAATGTGATTTCTTATATGAATACTGTATACAGTATTTATTTTTGTGACATTTCCTAGGGTTGTGACCTCAAATCGATGCTTTCGGGTGCTCAGGCTGCAAGTCATAAACAAATAGTCACGTTTCAGCAGGTATGGGTCGTTTCCATTAAACAAGTATACCATAAAACACAAAATCAAACGATTATATATAAGATCCTGGGACTGAAATCAGCGGTGGTTGTGAAGAATTCTTTTGTCGTGCAATTGTTTGTCATTTTCATTTTTTTACTGTGTTGTGGAGGCCGTGGTGCGTTGCAACTACCGCTTTAATTCTAGACAATGAAATAGTCTGGCAAATGATATCCTGTTTTTACATTCATAGCTTCGTGACGAAGTATATAATGAATTGTGTAATGTTGATCAGGTCGCAGGAATCAAGGTAAGATGAGATCATATTTCGTTTATCTAGCTCGAAACAAGATCATTTCTAGAGGTTGGAAATCCAGTCGAAAGCAAACCATTAACTCTCTGGAAGTTCTGCAAATATATGAACATTCCCTGATCCGATTTCAAATGACATTAGATGTAACACAGACTTACAATATGGTGCATGTCGGTAATATTTCTGAGTTTAGGAAATCCTAAATCCATGGATTAAATCTTTAGATTAGATTAGGAATAGGATTGGATTTAGGATTAGGGTTAATCCCAATCAACTTGATCTAAAACCTAATCCTGTTTGTCATCATTTAAAGTGGACTAGATTTCAGAAGTTGTCTGAGATATTGAAAGGTCATCGTCGTGGTGAACTGACCGTGTTCACTGGGGGAACTGGTACTGGAAAAACTACCTTATTGAGTGAATTATCCGTGGATCTTTGCGCCCAGGGGGTATGTAAACGACAGTGTTTAAGCTATTGTAATGGCATTGAATATTTCAAGTAACCACGAACCGTGCATGCATGTAGTTTAGAAACTGGATGGTTTATACATGCGTCACCTATAAATACGTTCCTCTTTATATTCTCAACAGGAGATATATAATAGTTTATATAGGAACAACAACAAAAATTTTTTAAGTTAATAATTTTATGTGATCTGTCATTTTGTTAAAAACAGGTCAACACATTGTGGGGCAGTTTTGAAGTTCGTAACGTAAGATTGGCAAAAACAATGCTCAATCAATTTTCCGGGTGAGTTGTGACAAATTTAGGATAAATTATAAACTGCACGCATTCATAAACACTTTTGACAAGAAAAATGTTTCTTCGTCTAAAGGTCTGTTCCCACGATCCAATTTTGTTGGATCCAATTCACTTCTGATGGATGTTTTATAGTCTGAGGCCTTGTAATGTTTATGAACAGTAAATCCACTGAAGCCAATGCACTACAGCTTACGAATTAAATTTCTATGTTTGGATGGCCTGATCCAAACACGGGCTTCGACCAATCAGAACACGCGTTATATACATGTTATTTTATAATATAGATAACACGACTTCTCTGAAACAAGCATGATTTTCTTCTTGCTTGAAAACAATTTAACTTATTCAGTTATGACCTTGAAATTTTGGGTAGTTTGAATCTGGAAAAGAATCTTCCTCAATACAACTATTGGGCTGAGAAGTTCGAGATGTTACCCATGTATTTCATGAGCTTTTATGGCGCACAAAATTTACAAGATGTATTGGAGGTATGTAGTTAACTTACCTTTTTTCATTATGATGTTAATGAAGGCGTGCCTGGGAACACGGAATTAAGATTTCCTTTTCTTTTGTTTCTGTTTTCTAATATTTGTGTACTGTAGATACAGCAACAAGATACTGTACAGTAGCAACAAGATACTGCACAGTAGCAACATCACAAGACACGCTAATAAACCACATCCGTACAAAAGAACTACAAAGTAACTACAGGGTGTATCAAAAAAAATGTCCCAAATGTAAAATTTTCGTTTTTCAGGATATTTTGTAGAATTTGGCAAATTTTTGTGTTCCTAGAGATAGTTAAGACTTATCTGGTATACCTAGGCCAAGTTTGGTTTTTCATTAACAAAATTATGTTACCGGGGGGTGGTTCTTTTCCACTGATATTGAGAGGGCTTGCGCGCGAAAATGTAAAGCTGAAATTGAGATATTATTTAGCTGTCTAAAAGTAGGAAAGCTTTTTAATAAACTGCCAAAGTTTCAGGAAAAATAATGCATACTGGGAGCAACGCGCGACCCCTAAAAGTGACAAATATTTCATTGCGCGCAGTGGATTAAATGCATTGTTGATTTTAGCGTGACCGATCTCATGCAAGGTGGGCAAATGAATAAATTAAAGCGAGAAACTGAACAAAAAGAAGAAGCGATTTAATAACAAGATTTTTATTCGTGATGTTAATCCTCAACATTTCCACCATTTCTTTCTAAGCAAACTGCGGCTCGATCGACTGAGCATGGTAAACACTGAACGGCGAACCCTTTGTCTGTCCTGTCTCAAATTCTCCATTTCGTTCGAAATTCTTTCTTGCAAATCGCCTACGCTACCACCGACAAATCTAGGCGAATGGACAGACAAATGGTTCGCTGTTCAGTGTTTACTATGCTCGGACGAGCCGCAGTTTGCTTAGAATGAAATGGTGGACATGCTGAGGATTAACATCACGAATAAAATGGTCACGGTCACGCTAAAATCAACGATGCATTTAATCCACTGCGCGCAATGAAATATTTGTCACCTTTAGGGGTCGCGCGTTGCTCCCAGTATGCATTATTTTTCCTGAAACTTTGACAGTTTATTAAAAAGCTTTCCTACTTTTAGACAGCTAAATAATATCTCAATTTCAGCTTTACATTTTCGCGCGCAAGCCCTCTCAATATCAGTGGAAAAGAACCACCCCCCGGTAACATAATTTTGTTAATGAAAAACCAAACTTGGCCTAGGTATACCAGATAAGTCTTAACTATCTCTACGAACATAAAAATTTGCCAAATTCAACAAAATATCTTGAAAAACGAAAATTTTACATTTGAGACATTTTTTTTGATACACCCTGTATATTACACGTCACGTACAATAACTACAAACAGTAAGTACATCGGAAGACACAGTAGCTCCATACAGTAACTACGCACCGTAATTATCAGTAATGTCACAGAGAAACTTCAACAATAAACAGCAACAGTTATATCACACAGAAACTACATACAAGCTAGACCGCTTAATTGCGCGAGAGGGTGTAGAGTGACTATTTAACAAGTAGTCGCCGAAGGCGAGGTGATTACAAACCTATATTCACCGAGCCTGAGACGACTAATTGTTCTATTATAAATTTCGAGGTGTTTACAAATAATAATCAACACAATTTCGTAAAAATTTATAATTACTTTAAATTTCTTATTTGAAAAACAGCAGCAAAAAGCTATAGTGAATTTTGGCCAATCAGAATGCAGGAAAATGAATAGTCACCTCGAAATTTATACTAAAACGAAATAAAGTGACCTACTGTAAATCTGCAGTCTTGATTGTCCTTTCCTAATAATACACAAATTTGGCTGAAAAATTTCCGATCAAATGGAAATGATCATGACATTCGGATTTAAGATACGTTTCAAGGACAACACGAGGATTTAGGACACCACTCCAGCTTATCTGAGATCATGACGTCATAAAGCGTCTCAACAAAACTGAGTTATCATGTGCCTGGTGTTATTTCTTATTCTTCCAACTAATAGTATAAAGGGTGAATAATTTAAATTCTAATATGCAGTTGGGAAAAAAATAAACGTGTTTTCACATAAATATAATAAAATTACCTGATATTTTTGTGTGTCGAAGTCATATATAATGAAGGAAATGATAATTCAGTTTTGTCGAAGGTCTGGCTTATGATTGGTTGATTTTTATATACCCAGATCAGCTGGCTATAACCAGTATAACTACATAGTTACAGAAACTGCATAAATATAAGTACATTAATATAGTTAATTCCGTCGTAATGCCGCTGTGTTTTTAGACAATGTCCCACGCGGCGTATGTTTATGACATTGAGCATGTTATTGTCGATAATCTTCAATTCATGATCTCGAACTCATACAGGTTAGTACTTCATGTATATAACATAATAAGCAATGTAATGTTTACTTCAATAGGTGCTTGCTCGATTCATCATCGAATCTTAAGTATATATATTTAGGTTTATTTTATGATGAATAAAACCAAAAGATATACCTGTTCATATGTTGGATATTTACAATTGGTTCTAGCTAAAGTGTCCAACTAAAACGACATGTAGAAAGTTGAAGATTTAATGCATAATATAAGCTGGGTCGCACTTATAGTATGCTTAAATTATGGTTACGTATTTATTGTTAGTTATTGTAAATATCACTATCCGGTTGGAAGCGCTACTCTTCATACAACCGCCCCAACCAGCTTTCCCTTCCATTATGGCCTTGTTTACTTGTTTGTTTTCTTATTTTTTATTTATTTATTTATGTAAATTCTTCTAGGTTTTATATTTCATCTGTTTTTCTTTTATTTACACTTAGTCCTGATCGTTTTCATGCCCAAAATGTAGCGATTGGTGAATTTCGAAAGTTTGCAACATCGAAGAATGTCCATGTGACTATCGTAATCCACCCACGTAAGGTAATAGTGGCGACTTACCTATATTTTGTAGTAATCTCCATGCAGAAATTCAGCTATTTTTCACTTGTCAAAACTCTGCATATAAATATGAGAACTCTGCTATCAAATAATATATAAAATCCTATGTAACCTGGGGCCAGTTAAAGCTATAAAAGACTAGTTTTTAACTGCAGTTAAGGACAGAGTTGGCCAATCAGAATCGCGTATCTCTGACTTCACAAGGATGTAACTGTGCAAAATATAGTGTTTTATACAACCGGCCCCTGTTAAATAAATGATCAAATATTGCGACTCCGGCCCCCTCTTGGCCGTGGAAATATTTAATCAGAATCTCCTCTCTACATATATATCTCTCCGTACATCATGCATAACATCGAATGTTATAGGAAAGTGATGACGCTGAGCTGCAAACAGCATCTATATTTGGTTCAGCTAAAGCAAGCCAGGAAGCAGATAATGTTATTATTTTACAGGACAAGAAAGGAAAGAATGCAGGCAAATATTTGCAGGTATGTTGGTAAATACTTGGAAAATTACGTTTTTGAGTTTTTGTATATATGGCCCATGTGAAGGGGAGGGGGGGGGGACACGGGTTTCATTGGTTGTTGTATAAAAGCAGGGCATGGATTATTTATTTCATAAAAATGGTAACAGACGATTTAAATCCAGAGAGATAAGTATCATTTTGGAAGAAAGGCACTTTTTCTTTGAAGAAGGAGAGCTTTTTGCGGGTAGTAGAATGTAGTTGTTTTTTAACCAATATTTATGCTCCATTCAAGGTTACTAAGAACCGTTTTGATGGTACACTTGGTAAAGTTTACCTGGATTTTAATCGTGACTCACTCAGTATGTCTTCTTACCAAACAACTTCAGCAAGTGCATCTTCAAAGAAAGAAAACAAGTTGGTACGAACTGTGAAACCACCTAAAACGGGTTTTGGCCCAAAACGAATCACTAAATCTGAGCCTGCAAGTGAAGAAAGGATTGCAACTGATGACCGTGCAACTAAATTAGGAAATCGAGAAAAAGCAAATTTAAAAGGTAAAAATATAGGCAATGAATCGTCAACTGTGGAGGCGAGCTCTATCTTGTCCGACAATATGAATAAGGTACATTCAATTAAAGCACCTGGCCTTTCAGCGAATTTGAATATAAATAGTGAACCAGAGGCGAAACCTAGAAGTCAGAATTACAAAGATAAGAACATGTCCAATACTCCTCCATCAGCTGTGGCTTCAAGCAGACCATCAGCGGGAAGCTATGATATGAAGGAGTCTAATACTTCATTTAAACCGTCCACTCAAGCAGTAAAGTTAAAGAAAGATGATCAGTCCAAAGGAACTGCCTTAAGTACCAAAGCGACGCGTTTCATTGTACAAACGAACAAAAAGTCTTTATCGATGGGAAAGAAGATCTCAGTTAAACAGCTGGATGTGAATAAAGTGTACTTACAATAAGCAAATACACCCTTGAAAATGCTTGCTTTTTATCGAAAGAGTTTGAGAAACATATAAATTTGGGTTACTATATGTATCATAGCAGAACAGACTTTGACAAGTTGTTGCAACTTTACAACCAGATGATCTCGCTCTCATATTTAAGCCAATCGTGCAGCGCTTAAAATATCCTGTCCTGTCGGAATACTCTTTATAAATTATGAAATAACATATAAATAACGCTTGTTCTGGATCAGCCCATCCATGCAAACACGGAAACCTTTAAGTGATTATGTTTATTACCATTTTAGTTCACTATATTTCTAAATGAATGCAAATATTGAGTTTATTTTCAAAGAAATTCAAAACATGCGAAAATTTCTCATTGGAGTCCCCCAATGTTTTGAGCAGAGCCGATACGCGCTCTAAGCTCTCCTTTATCGATGGTATGAATTTTTTTTATTCTGTATGAAACTATTCCAATTTTATAAGTAGCATTTATGCATTTCCATTTTGTAAATCACTCATTCAAAGGCATGCATAACTTTGTAAAGCATGAAAAGAAGCATGCTTACATACTAGTATTAGAGCAGGAACTCCAAAGTTCTCACGTATTTTACGGCATGCAAAATCTTTGATCTTGGGGTAATGACGTTAATGTCGGCGGAAACGACGCTACTGATCGATATTTTTCTGTTTTGGGGCCAATACATTGACATCCGATACAAAAATATAAATTTTTATCGCAATAGAAGCTATGATAATAGAAGCCATTCCTGGAAGCTATTCTCGAACCATCGAACAAAAATTTATTGAGTTAACTACGATTATAATACGCTAACTAAGCAAAATATATACTGCAGTTGAGAATTTTGTTTAGCACTTAGCACTTAACCCTCAAGCGGTTAAGTCGGTTCTCCAATAGGCGGAATTCTTCGACCGAACGAAATTTTCCGCTCGATTTTCTTTTCAATTGTCAGAATTCGACCGTAGCGGATTCCCGTCACCGACCCCAATTGAAAAGAAAATCGAGCGAAAAATTCCGCTAGTCCGGCTTAAGCCTGTTTTCCACTAGCGATATTTTTCGCGCGAAGCGACGTTTTACTTTTGTTTCAGAGCTCTCAACGGCAACCATTTGGAACAAATTGCTCAAATACAAAGGAATAAAGTCGCTTCGCGCGAAAAATATCGCTAGCGGAAAACCAGCTTTACGCTGGTACAACTTTCACTGGGATGGTTGGATTGTATCAGCATTTTCTTCCATGGGTTCATCATCTCGTTATCTATTGATCAAAATGTGACGTTTAACCTAGGCCCAGGTTGGCTAAGGAAGCATTCGCGTAAAAAAGTACGTGCATGTGGGAGACGCTATTTACCCCGTAATTTTCCACCAAAGAAATATTCTTTGTTCTCAACAAGAGAGAATTAGTTCCCTAAAAGTTAATAATTGTATGCTAATTGCGTCCCAGGAACACGAACGCGTGCCAAATTTAGTCGTGTGATATCGTCGGAAAACTTTAAATGCTTCCAAATTTTTATTATTCAACACATGGCTCAACAAATGCAACCAAAATATGCGAGAACACATTCACCTAGCATTTTAAGTATGACAAATATATAAGGATTTATACTTTTACGTGCGTGCAACGTGCGTATGAAAAACTCGTAAGTGGGTGCCCACTTCAAATTGACTTTCCGCTAAACTCGCCCATGCATTATGAAGCTATGGCGGGTGTCTAATTGAATAGGGCATCGGAAATGACGTTACCGTTTATTTTTTTATCGAGAGCCAAGAGATTGATATCCGCCGTAAAAGATAAAGTATATAGTCAGAGCTTATATATAAGGTTGTAGGAAATATCAAACTGCATTATATTTGTCAGGTTTCAGATGAACTCAAAAGAGCTGAAGCTCATTGACTAGCTACTGTGACTGACGTATCTCGGTGGAGTTTGCGAAATTCTTGCTGGGAATTAAGACACAAGAACGAGGTATAAAAAGCCGACTCTTGCAAGTCTAAATATATACACAACTTCCAATGTTCTTCCTATAAAAGTAGTCTTTCCTTGTTAATGAAAAGGTTATTAATTTCACATGCATGCATTTGTTTTATGACGTTTACCCTATATAGCTAGCTATACATATTCCGTAGAAATGATACATGCATGTTATAAATTGTCGCCTATACTGGGTTTCAAGAAAGGTGTTAGACTTGTCATACCGTTAAATTGCTTGCACGCCCAGGGCATGCATTACGTTCAAATTATTGATTTCAGTTGATTTCGAAGTAAAATAGCTTAAAGTTTTGTCGCTAAATATGAGGCAATAGTGAATTAGTTTGTTATCAAATTGGCACATGGGTCGACTACTACACCCAATTAATATCAAGGTATATATCCCAGAACCTAAACCATGCAGGCTCTTTTGTAGACAAATATTTTTGACACCAGCTGTCATATTTACTGCGATTTCCAGTTTTCCTTGAAATTGCGAAAGTTTGCTCGTCAGTTAAGTTTTGTTGTTTGAAAGCAATGTTTGTGACGTTATCTGATAATGTTACCAGGTGACGCTGGTTATCTTTAAAACGGGAAACGAGTCAGGGAAAGGGTAATGAGGAAGAGAAAGGGAAAAGGGGGGGGGAACGGGCGGTAAATGGGCGATGAATAATCAGGTAATGTAAAAAATAGATATAATCGAGCATAAGAATATAATAAGATATAATAAGAATAAAGCGAAAAACTCGTGCAAAATATATTTCCGCGCTTTTCTTTCACTCCTCTAAACTGAGTTTTTGACTGTTTCCTGTTTATTTTTTCTGTAATTTAGCAAATTAGTTACTTTACTTATTTCTAAACATTCCCGGATATTTTTGTTTAAAACCTGTCTCAAACGTACAAAAACCCAGAAAACCACCTTCAATTTAGGCATCAAAGACGACGGCGTATAGTTACCGTTACCAAAGCCACGTATAACCTAGGGCTGAAAAATTCTGAAATTGCGCATAATTATAGTTTTTACGGGAAATATAATCAGACCGTTCTTTGATTTTCTAGAGCAATGAAGTCGTATTTACTAGCGAACGTTTTCTTGAACATCCTTCAAGTGGTTTATATGCGAGTAGAGCTTGCAGATTTTTATCCTTATGGACCTGATAATGGAGATCTTCAGGCACCGACCAATGATGATGGTAGTACTGGTCGTATAAATATTGGATTCCCGTTTCCTTTTTTCGACGAGGATCACGATTCCTTCTTTGTATGTATTTAAGTTTTTATCTTAACTACTAACTAACAACTACTAACAATAAAAGAGTTTTTGAACCGGTCGGTAAAAAATTTGGGAATATAAAAATGTTTCTCCGTACGCAATTCATACGTTAAGAGAGATTCCGATTTACACACTAAGTCGTTCAATTTATGGCTTGGATCAGCTAAAATTTGATTAAAAAGTTTCTTACATGTGAATTCCCTTCGTGCTTGTAATGTTTTCAACCCACTTTCGATCAATCCATCCTTGTAATGTGCAGACGGATAAACAATTCGGAGAATAGAGCAAAATCTATATTTAAAACAACCAGTCCAGTCTCAGTAAAAAATTAATTTCTGTAATGTGACCTATGGCTTCGACCAATCAGGACTCGCGTTATATACCTATATGTTATTTCCATAAAATAATATGAATCTTCAACGTGTGTGCGGGAATAATGAAAATGGCGCCGTCAACAACGAAGATTGCAGGGGAATTTTCGGTTTAGGGCGATGCTGTGATTAAAATGTTTTTCATGAAACGTTTCCCTGCATGTGAAAGAGTGGAAAATTAGAGGAAATTTTAAGTGGAAGTCAAGTCCGTTCTGCGCATCGGTTCTGCTCATAACAACCTTTCTCATCAAAAATACTAGTTCATGAGGGTGACCAATTCTAAAAAGAGCAAGAGACCTGTTAACCCTTACGCGAGAACGAGGCTAGTCAGGTTTTTTGCAGTCAAAATTTCAAAATCATTTTTAATTTTCTAAATTTTGACTGGAAAACTGTGTTATTGTGTAGCTCTAAACAGTTCCACCGAAAAAGTGAGAAATAAACAAATAATTATAAGAGAATCTGACTAGCCTCGTTTTCGCGTAAGTCAAAACAGCCCCCTTGCTCTTTTTCGAATAGCTCTATACAGAAAATGAATGTTGTTAGGTATTTAGACAACACATTATCGTATTTCAAAAATTACAGAAGTTCAAAATGCAAACAAACCGTTTGTTTACATATACGGACTTGACTTTCACTTTAAAAACTATTTTTAAGTTGGTTTAAATTTTGGCTGAAAGAGAGAGAGCATCACGCCGTCTACATGGGTCGAAAATATACCAATAGTCTTGCTAATAAATATTCTACTTGATGCGTATAGTCGGTCTTTTTCAGATAAACACGAACGGTGTGATTTCTTTTCTTCGCGAGGTGTCGCAGTACACACCTGATCCTTTTCCACTCTCAAATAGCCGCCGTCTAGTCGCGCCATTCTGGGCAGACGTCGATACAAGAAAGGGCGGCGCTGTTTACTACAGAGAAACTCAAGACTTTTCTATTCGCACACGGATCTCTGAGGAAATAAGGAATTTTTTTGTTCGCCAAAGAGGTTTTTCAGCAAAATGGGCTCTGATAGTGACTTGGTTGGACGTTGCTCGCTTCGGAGGACCTTCCTCCCCGAATGTAAGTAAAATGGTCCTATAAATGAAGTCATATAGTCATACAGTCAAACAATTGCACGAGTCATTTCACAGTTGACGTGCACGGTGGAGAGCGGGAGCAGTCCTCTGCCCTTTAGCACTGTTTTCCATACACTGTCGCGTACTACGCACGTAAAAGTTTAAAATAATTTAAGTGATACTTATGAAATCAACGATTGAATAGATGAGTAGGTTGAATTCTGTTGAACATTTGGTGTGTTTTCTCTGGCATAAAATTGATTATTTAACAACTTAGAGGTTTTAAGCTTTTACGCGCGTGTACGTACGTGCAAAAAACGCGACAGTGGAAAGCAGCCTTTTAGAGGGTGTGTAAAAAAAACGCAACGCAACCACTAAATATTCGTTAATACTCAATCTATTGTGTTTCAATAAAGTGCCGGTTTGAATAGAGAGCGGCTAAAGCGAATGTCATAAGTATTAGGTGGTTACGTTTTTTTTGCACTCGGTACAGGGTGTCGAAAACGCCCCGAAAGTATCTATTGTTAAAATTTCAATGCATGTCATGTTCGCGAATTTCTCCGGTAGGGATTAACGCAACTTAATTAATTATAACACGCGCTAAAGCCTGGTTCTCATATATATGACCGACGGTCGGCAATAGCTAATGTCAGTTATCACCGGGGGGGAGGTGCTTTAAGCCCTTTTTGGCGGCCAAAATTATTGATATAAAAGTCAGACGGTAACTGGCTGACATTTCCTAGGTTCATTTTCCATTCCGCATTATAACGAATGCTTAGATTTAGTAAAAAAGCCTTTCGATCACTAGCAGAAAGGATTGTTTTTATAATATTTTTCAATTTGTCATAAAGTTTCTCTCAAAATGCAGGGTAATTAGTTAACCGGTTAAAGAATTAGGTATGGAAAACTAAAATTTTATGGAGGGTTCTATATATTAGGATCTGCCCCCCCTCCACATTCCCTGGATACGCTCCGAGGGCCCTGCTCTGCCCTGTGTCCGTGAATTGGTAATTTTCAGTAGCGTAGCGTGCCTGACGATTTAGGGGCTGCTTACATGATACCCGCGGTTATACCGAAGATTTACCGAAACGTGCATGAGAGCATATTGATGGGTATTAAAATTTGTGAAACATACAACGGGTATTATGTCTTTGTGAAACATAACAATGACATGTTACTGTGGGGATGATTACACGATTGCCAGGATCGTGTCATATGCTAATTTGAACACCCCAAAGTCATTCCACCCTCCGTTGAATCTTGGCTAACCGGGATCATGAAAACAGTCATATTAATGATGCAAGGCTAATAATACTTTGGTATTGAATGACCGTGAACTGTATTCAGTTACTGCTAGTGTTTTCTGACTAGAGCGAGAATAGTTATTTATTGTACAGGTTTAACGTACTTACTATAGTACCTACCCAATTAAATTAGATTATTAAATTAGAAATTTCATTAAAGTATCTAGATCAGGAAAATGCGATTTTTTATATAGAACACATTTCAGACTATATTGGCTACAGACGGTGTCAGCTCGTTTTCAATATTTCTCTACAATAAAATCACATGGACTTTTGGTTCTGCAAGCAACAATACAGCAGCCCAGGTAATGAAGAAAATCCATTATTTACTATTATCAATGAAGAATATATTTATTAACAGGTGAAATATAGATAATATTCACACAGCAATCCAAATAATCAAATGCCAACGCCACTGATTACATTAATTTTATCCAAAGAAACGCGATCACTCTGTTTTGAACTATTCGGCAAGTTTTTTAAACGTTTTAAAGGCAAAGCCAATCAAAATGCCCAAATTTTAAACACTTCATGTAAAATGGTAAATAATGTACCCTTGTAAACAAACTTGTTGATTTATCTAAAGCGAAATCCCTCCTTGTTGTAGGTAAAGGCCCAAATGCATGCAAAATTCGTCCTCATGACTGCTAAAGCTCCCTATATATTTATTCTTTCCAGGCTGGTTTCAATGCAGGTGACGGTATTCGATATTTTAATATCCCAAATTCTCGCACTCCCGCCATTATCAACATTGCCTCGACATCAAATTGTCAAGAGGCAGGGAAATGGATCTTCAAGATCGACGGGGATAAAGTTGTGGATAATGGTTGCACATCTGGTGGCGGTATGAGAAAGTTAACGCTCATATAACTCTTATATTTTATTATAATTTTATATCAAGATTCAAATGAAATGAGGGAATAAATTATATGCAATAACCGAATAAGAGAACATAATAACTGATTATTATATGGATGGGGGTATTTTACTGAGAACTAAAACACTCGTAGAACTCATACGCCACTACATCCGGGACCAGGTGTGCGTATTTTCCGTATGTCACGTTTAGGGGTGACATAACGAGTTTCGAAAATTTTCCCGCCATTCCCTTTGTTGTTGTTGTGAAGATACAAATGCCCTTTGTTTTGTATATAAAACGAAATTAACGTTAGAAATACAAACAAAAACACATAGACATGCATCTTTAGATAAGGAAAAATTAGTCTACTTTAATGTTTAGGTTATAATTTAAAAAATATTTGCTTTTATAATGGTCTTCCGCGGCTAATTTTCTTGTCGCCTTTGTGTGTATTTTTTTCACTTATAATTTAGTCCATATAATAAACAGAACATCACACGGTTTGCTCGAAGATATGGATTTTATGTTCTCGTGGCAGGAACAGTATCTCACTCGTTCGCTGCGCTCACTTGTGAGATATTGTTCTTGCCACTCGAACATAAAATCCATATCTTCTCGCAACCGTGTAATATCCTCTATTTATTGACCTCGCTTGTTCGGTCTCTACTGTGAAATATCAGACCGAGGCTTTTTAGTATGCAAAAATCTCACAGTACAGACATATTTCACAGTATATACAGACCGCGAACAAGCGAGGTCAATTATCTGTAATTTTATGACTGAACTGCATGGGACATCCGGGATAATGGTCCAGATAGGAAATATACGAACCACGTTCCGGATATGGGATTTTACGCACCGCTCGTCAACCAATGGGAAAAAGGCCTAAAAGGCTTTATAATATAATAAATTATATTTCTCTGTTCAATATGTCGTTGCGGCTGGAATACATCAATTTTCCCTCGCGGTATTTGTTTAGATTTGCAACTTTCGCCCAGATCAGGAATTGAATTGGGAGGTACTAAAGTGTTTATTGGAGGTCCATGTTATAATCCTGGTGATGAGATTGTGTGTCGATTTAACAAGACTATTAACACAACTGGTGTGATTGTCAGCTCTAAACTTGCCTACTGCATCACTCCTCCATTATATAAAATGCATGGTCGTATGCCAATGGATGTTTCACTAGATGGTGGCATAACGTTCAATCATACTGGTATATTTAGATCAAGTGAGTGAAGAAAACTAATTTTATAACCAATTTTATAACAGGCAGAGATGAAACTTTCTTTTTTACAGCTTTTATGGTACAAATACCCAACTTTCACGGATACTTAATATGGTTAATTTTTACATTCTTGCCAGTCTTACCAGTCCAGAGCCTTATTAAGACCAAACATGAAAAACCTCTGAGTTTTGAACAGTATTTCGAAAATAGCATAGCAATAGTTAAATATTCACTGTAAAAATCCTTATTAAATCTATGGTAGCTACTATAATATCCATTGATTTTTACTCATATCAAAAATCAATTTGATAATGTGAAATTGAAACTTTCCTAATTGTTAATCCCGACTAAGAGATTTTTCCGACAAATTTGCCAGTTCTTTTTTTTTCATTTTAGTTCCCTTGGCTAGAAATCCTCCGGACATAAAAGGACTGGAAGTTGAAAATTGGGCAAACTCCACGAAAACTATCTTGACATGGAACCCGAGTGCAATTAACTCTACGCACGTTCACATCGAGATATCTGCATTTGACGCTTTCAAATTTTTGCTTCATGATGTTAGTTTGGCTAGCTTTAAAGAAGTTCTTAATTCTGGCAGTTACCAGCTTGATTTCAGCGCACATGTTTTCTCGACGTAAGTATACCAGAATAATGAAATCATGTTGTAATTATAAACGTGTGTATCGATATAATGAGCCGGTTGTATCAATCCCGTTCACTGGCGTTTAGCCTAAACAGTGGATATGTTCAAAATAGAATGTAAGTCTATCGTTCTATTCAACAAGCGGACTAAGTGTTTTTGACCTTAATAAAAAGATACTGTTTACAACTATATGCATAATATTCAAGTTGACTCACTCAAAAAAGTTCTAAGAGACTAAGAGTGTTATTCAATTTTGACTTATCCACCATTTAAGCAAAATAGGCTTGATACAACCGCGGCCCCAGGGCATTGAGGACCGCTTATACTAGACCACTTTCTGGTGCGATTTTCTTCTTTTGACAGATGGAAACGAGCAAAGGTTTATGAATACCCTGTGTTCATTAATGTTCTTTATCAGTAGCTAATGTACAATACTAAACCTAGTATAGTATAGTAATACATATACATATGGTCATTTAACAGGAGAAGGCGGCGAAGAAGTGTGGATACAATCTCACCGATTGCAATTGTTAAAATAACCCCATCTGAACCCAGAGTCAAACGATTTGGTGTCACTCCTAAAAACGCGATATTCAGCAGTGTTTTTCTAATTACATGGCTGATATTTAATGATATCGAATGTACCAATTGGTATGACTTAGAAAATGACGCAGAAATTGCAAAACTACAAGGTAATTGTCGGGAAATAAAGTACAGCTATTCTGAACATCGCTTTCAGAAACTGCAGGTGGAAAATAATCATTTGGCTTTCTCTGCGTCAAAAATTGTTTATTCATCTGCGTGTTTTACCAGAGGAGAGGTGATCGAGATCGATTCGTACTCTACCATCCCATGTACGGTCATTTATGATGTAAATCAATCTCTGCAATCCCCACCAGGCTGTGAAATTAGTAACAAAAAATTAAAATTGGGTACCTCAGATTCACTATTTTAAATTATTTTAGTTGTAGGCCAAAAGGACACAATGTCAATGACATGAAGAAACAAAACTATAATGATTCTCATTATTTTGAATGCGTAATCTTATGACCTCGGTAATGACGTCACACGATTTTAACATCACAACGTTTTAAAATTAGAATCACCTTTATTGAAATAGTTTTCAAGTTATACTCTCACGAGCCACGTGCAAAGATGCAAAACATCCTTCTTCAACACATGCATGAAAAATATTTTTTATTTTGATATTGATACTTCCATACTTATTTGTCAAAATGAAAATTTTTTTTTCATGCATGTGTTGAAGAAGGATGTTTTGCATCTTAATTTGCACATAGTTGTGAGAGTAAAACTTAAAATCCATCTCATTTAAGGTGGTTTGAAATTTAAGGCGATAATGTTATGACGTAATTATCATGAGATAATTGACCAGAAAAAAAAATATTAGGAATTTCAAAAACTCTCATGCAACTGATGCAAGATTGGAAATATATGTCTGTCTGTTGAGAATGTTTCCACCATAATACCTGGGACTAATTTTAGAATTAATTTTCTAAATTAAATTTCCATATGATTTCAATTTTTACTGAGCTCGGACAATTGAAAGAATAAGCACTGTTGTACAGTACTTAATATATCGTGTACCGCTATATGCTTGATATTTATCTATTGGTATTAACTCTACTACTCTTACAGAGGAATTGCTTCCATGTCCGACGAGTTTTCGACAAATGTTAGCTGATTCTGGTCAGTTTATCCGAGATTCTGGGATTAAACGAATGCTAAGCACATATATCTATCATCGCGGTAGTTCAACATGTTTTCGCTCCAGAAACCCAAGGTATGGTAACTATAATAATACGGTTATAACTTTTAAGCCAAGGGCCGGTTGCATCAATTAAACGGTAGATAAATTTAAAATAGAATGCATGTCTATCGTTTTATTCAACCAGCGAACTAAATGCTTTTGACCTTAATATGACCTTAATAATAATACGCTGTTTACAACTAAGTATTCAGTGTATACAACACGTCAAGTGTTCAGCAGCAAATGGTGGCTGATGTGATAGAGTATTTCCAGTTTTCTTGCAGTAAACATAGACTGATTTAAATACAGAAATGATGACAAATTTACATCCGGACTCTTTCTGACTTGCTGTGACGGCAACTACGACTTAACCAAAACATGGAAGAATTATTTCTGTGACGTCCCTAGCCTGGCTCCTCCTATGAAATAACTTGTTTTTACAGTCAGTATTATGCTACTGCCTGCCGTGGCGGAGCCAGCATTGATAATTGGGGGGGGGCATATTCATAAATTCATGATAACAGACTGTAAAGACAATCCATTTAAAAGAAATAAATCCTGCGTATCACGAATATATGAATATGCCCCCCCCCTATTATCGTTCTGGCTACGCCACTGACTGCATGGGTATACTAAGATTGTATATATCATTCCTTATCAGTTTAATGTATTCAGCTAATAATCTATTTTCCGGACTTCCTTGTTTTCTTTGCACACAGGAACGGTATATTCTGGATTAATATATATTTTATGTCATTCCCCGTATTAAAAAACATCGCGACAGTTTACATGCACGGGATTGGAGGTCGTCGGATCGATTTAGGTCGAACTACAGTATATCCAGTGTAAAAAATATCGTAGCGTGTTAGTTGTTTTGGAGAATAATATGTCCCATTTTGTTTTCTCAGTCCATCAGGTGCTGGTCAACAATGTTGTTATAATAGTGCAGGTTCATTGGTCGTGGGACCGCCAGGCGGCGGTTCTTTCGATAAGAAATCACCGGATGAGGATTTCTGGTGGCATATGGGACTCGATGTCCTTCCTTGGTTTGCTTGCTGTGGATTCAGTGAAAATTGCAACAAATATTTTGAAAAACGACCATCTGATGATGGAAAGCGATATATTCCTCCACCAATTGGTAAGCTGAATTCGTCAACTGCAAATTTACACATTCATGCACTACATGCAGTTTAATTGGTAAAGAATTTTGCTTAATGGTTGATGATCCTCGCCTTGGGCGACAAATTTTTAAGTAGACACTTGCTAATATAAGATTAATTTTGGATTTATTTGAAATTATCGGACTCTGTTGCAGCCGATACAAGAGGGGATCCACACTTGTCCACGTTTGATGGCACATTCTACACATTCAATGGTTACGGTGAATATATTCTTCTTCGTGTGAACAATGGCACCGATTTTGAGTTTCAAGGAAGAATGAATCCCATCACTGACAATCAAGGAAGCACGACAAAGGCAACAGCGCTTACAGCATTAGTTGCCAAAGCAGCAGAAAGTGACACGGTACAGGTAAGACAACCGCGAGAAAACGATGTGAGTTGTCTTTCCATCGTGTTGTCATTCCATCGTGTTGTCATTTCATCGTGTTATAGTTCCACCATGTGTGTTGCCATTCCACAGTGTTGTAATTCCACCATTTTGTCATTCTATCGTGTGTTCATTCCACCGTGCGTATTGTCATTCCACCATGTGTGTTGTCATTCCACCATATGCGATGTCATTCTATCGTGTTGCCATTCAACCGTGTTGTTAGTCCACCGTGTTGTTAGTCCACCGTGTTGTTAGTCCACCGTGTTTTTATTTCACCATGCCTTTTTTACAATTTTAAAACATATTTCAAAACATTCTTTAAAATGGCTTCACTCTAATTAGAAATGACTCAAATTAATAAAAATTACACGATAACATTGTTGCTTTTATCTCATAGAGCTAAATTATTGTCTTCTGTTCTAAGATTGAGTATAACAAGCGGAGAAAGATAGATGTTCTTGTCAACGGTGATCGAGCAGAATTTGACGAAGAGTCAAGATTAGATTATACAGGAGTATTTGTTGTTAAACAGAACGAATCAAAGATAGGCGTCTACTTCGCTTCAGGGGAATCTCTCGATATCAGAGTATTTGAAGAGTTTTTAACCTACCAAATATCAATTCCAGTCAGATACAAAGGTTGGTGGTGGTGGACTAAAAGCAATACTCTAAGCAGATGTTCTAGAGAGCATACTTTCTTATAAATTTTTTGAAAACACAGATTTTTTCATAAATTTGAGTTTTTGAATGATGCTTGCATGATTTCACTAGCGAGAAGAGTTTCTGTGATATTTTCTCGGTAATAATTTACTCCACTTATTTGATTTCAAACAGAAGCGAGATATAATTAACCGTTGGATGACAATTAAGCTTGGCAAGTAATTCGCATAACTCAGTAGGATGTAATACAGGATTAACCTAATTGTCAATGCAAATAATGCATGATTAAATTTCAAATATTCGGAAATTTTATTTTATCTCTTAATATTTTTCTCAGTTTCATTTTTCATGCATAATGAATTGTTTCACATTATTTTCAACCTCGAATTTAACTTTGAATTTATTTTAAATAGCAAGGCCCGCAGGTGAGAGCCAACCACAGGTCCCCCATCCCTTGCAATCAACAAAGGCATCACCGGAGATCAAAATTATCGGGCCCCATGTATTTTCCGCTCATGCCCCTCCTTTCTTGCCCATTTCCCGCCCATGCCTCTCCTTTCTCAACGGTACTGAATAAAACTCTTACATCAAGTGCTTACACTAACTCCCTTGCATTGCCTCATTAACTTGCATTAACTCACTTGCAAGAGTTATTCCAACGCCCACTGTCCTGTGGCTAATGTCTTTGATAAAATTTGTTTTTTTAGGAAAAACAGCTGGTCTTCTGGGATTTTGGGATGACAGCAAGGATCAAGAATTCCTGTTGCCCAACGGAATTTTCATTCCAACGAATTCAACCTCGCAAACCATTCACAATGAATTTGGTCAGAAATGTATGTTTCAACTTAAACATATGGTTATTGTTACGTTAGTATACTCAGCCTGCAAGAATACCAGTCTTGTCAGAGCAAAAAGCTTTTTGAAATAATGTTCCCAATGGTCTAGTGGTGAAACAACCCTGCTGGTAACGGGGGGCGCGGGTTCCCGTTGTGAAATTCAGAGTAAAAAAAAGAAGAACAAGAAAACATTAGTTATTTGTGAACTTTTGATATTTATTTTAACGGTAAGGGCCCAAATGAAATGTAGAATTTGCAACTTCTTTAGGGATTGCTACCCAAGAAAACACTCTTTTCACTTACCATTCTGGAAAGAGTTATTCCAGCTTTGTCAACCTCGGCTTCACTCCTGTCTTTTTGGATGACACGTCGTCGCTGTTCTCCAATTCCACATTCGAAGCGGAAGTGAGGAACCTTTGTGGCGGAAATAAGGAATGTATCTTTGATGTTGCGGTGACTGGAAAGACAAGTGTTGGTGAAGCTACTTTAGAATATTTTAATGAACTGCAGCAAAGAACAAATAACTCACAAATCGGTATGAAAGTGACAAAAGCCGAAATTGAAATATGTATTACTGAATTTGAGCTTCTCATAAGTAGACTTTTCCATCTACTGACATATTTAACTCCAGTAAAACACAGCAGTAAATGCTGTTACAAAATGCAGCATGTACGCGTATATTATATTTATCCATGCAGTCTTTCCCCTTCGGAGGTTCAATATTAATATTTTTCCGGCACTAAGCATGAGCGGAACTTACGTAGGGACGGCAGCTTAATATTATGGATCCATGCAGGTTGGCTGTTCAACTTCTATTTTGCATTTCAGTTGCTATTCCTATCTTCTTCGGTTGTGATGGTGTTGAGAATAGTATGAAACAAACAGATTCTTGTGGTGTTTGTGATGGTGATAACTCAACCTGTACAGACTGTGATTGGAATATCAGACCGGGTTTTGTTAACAACGGAACGTGTGCCGGTAAAAATATTTCACCAATTTTTATTAATGCATATAAAAAAGCACGCTATAACTAACACCCCGCCCTCTCCCTCGCCAAGTACGCCTGTGTTCTTATTATTATCATCAGTTGTATGACAGAATAGATTCGCTTTATAGAACTGATGAAAAGCTCTTAGAAATTCGTTCAATACGTTTTTTTTTATTTCTTTACTATATCCCAGGCTTTCACAATGGTTGGAGTGAGTGGAGTGCTTGCTTCAAGAGCGGCGACGGGAAAATAAGAACAAGAAACCAAACCTGCTCTGTCAAGGGACGTTGTGGTCATTTGGTTGGAAATATACAACGCGAAAACTGCGATGAGGAAGATGATGGTAATCATAGTTTTTAGTAATTCATCCAAAAATATAGAAATACTCTAACTTACACTTAAAATTAAAAAAAAATAATACTTGGGTACCCGATCCCCAATAATATTCATAACTTGCGTAATACAACCTCGTTCCCAGGGTCTTTTGGGAATTTACGAGGAGGAAGAGAAAAGGCCCTGGGATCGGTCGTTCAAAATACACACATTTCGTGGGTATTTTGAATGAGCATAATTTATCATAAAGTTTTGCGTAGTATTTTCAAAATGCCGGCGTCACGTAGAACGGATAATATTATCGCATTAAAGCATATTGGAATTGTACTATTTCGGAATAATTACAAAATATTCTGCCAAATACACATGAATTAGGAAAAAATTGGCTTAAAATAGATCTATTTGGCTTGTTTTGATTCCAACGTTCATAACCAATTCAATCATACTTGAAGCATGATCTGCATACAATATAATTTCCTCAGCATATACAACTAAATAACTAAATTGTGACAGCCTACTACAAATATGCATGTGTAGTTTCTACAATAAATATTTTTTTCAAAATTTTATGTTTAGCTGAAAGCAGATCTTCGGTGTTTTATTTTCTTGTTATTGGAGTGCCTATTCTTGTTCTCTTTCTCGTGGTATCGGCCGTGGGGTTGTTTTACTGGTCGTTCAAGAAGAGGCAAGAAACAGCTGGCAAACCTGGTGGTGAAATCGATGCTAACACGTATATGATGAGCTAGATGAGGTTGGCCGTGCAGTGAAATACAGGATTGAAGCATTAAGGTTCTTCTACTCGAGTTTAATAGACGTAATCAAAATATATCCAAACAATACTTAGATAAAGATTATAAAACATCCTGTTCCGTGCTCATTAGTTTCCTTTTGAACATTCGGTCCTTTCAAGAACCGCAGTAAATGAAATAGATTTCACAATCACAGCACAGTCTTACACAACCTGAGTTAGGACAGGCTCATGTGAGCTTTGTACAAAGTTGCAAAGCAATCTCTCGAACACATGCATTAAAACGTTTCTCTTTTAATCGTAAGATACATGTTGAAATAAACGTCAAGACGAATTCGAGGCCCAATTAACTCTATACCGGCTAATTGGATTGTACACCGATTTATCGTTTAAAATAAAGAAATGAGCGGAAGGGATTTTTGCTTCATCGAAAATAGCTAAGTGTTATGTACTGACCATGACGTTATAATTAATATTAATTATTTAGCGCTATTTTGTTGAGTTAGCATAAATAATTCAGTTTTCTCTTTCGCTACGAAAGGGTTTACAAACTGTTGATATTTAAAGTAAAATATGTAGACAAACGGATCTAAATTCGCCGTAAGATGCGGTATATTTTAAATTTATTTTGATTGAGGATAGCTCCAACCAATGTTTAAATATTTTAACAACATTGATGTGATTCTTTGTAGCAATCCCATGTAAACCTCTGATATTGATATAAAACGAGAATACATAAAATGAATAGAGAGAGCATAAAACGAAGCGTATGATTTGTGGCGAACGATACTAAATGGACTTGACGAGATATTCGGTTGCCTGGGTTTGTTTCCAACAATAAGGGAGGATTCCACTTGCAGAGAAATAGGTCGCCAGCGAAATATTTGCATATTTTTTTTAGAATTTTAACAGCATCATATAAATTAGTTCAACTTGACTGTTTAAAATTGAACAAAAAAATGCAAATATTGCGAACTATTTCTCCGTAAGTTTAATTCCAGCCTAAAACATAAACTGAGAGAAACGAACGTTCTTTAATACCTTCTTTTAATACTATATCAAAGAGCCCTGAGGTGAAAACAGTTGTGACGTGTTAGCGAACGACTTGCATTGATAAATGTAAACCGAAGGCCTAGCTTCCATCAACCTCGTTCCCAGGGCATATTCGTAATTGTTGGGAATATGTCAAAGTGGCTGAATTGTTGTGAACATGTCAAAGTTAGGCACTCTATCAATAAAATTTGACGTGTTCGATGAAATCCGAGCGAGGTAATATTAAAACTGTTAGCTAAATTTCAGCTTAACTCGTGGATTATCGGTCCATGAGTTCATGAGTTCGTGAACTTGTAAATGTTAGTGTGTAGGTAAGTAAGGTAATCATGTAATGGCGAGTGCAATTTGGGAACAATTGTACGAGTGATGTTTGAGAATTTTGCCGAAATTCATTGGACGAACTGCCAGGGTGAATTCTGATCGTTCTTAGTTCCTTCAGGCAGTTTAGTTTATATGCCAATATCGCGTTCCGCCATTTTGTTTATTTAATTTGGCAAAATCATCAGTGCATTACTGCAATATAATTAAGGAAATAACTGTACTTCTTTCGACCAATCAGGATCCAGTAGTTTTAGCATGCTAATAATAAATCCCAATACAGCGTTCACGTACTGAGAGGTAAGTCATTATTGTACTATTGTAATAAGAAATTGATTTATGTTTAGTAATTATCGTGTAATATTTACCGTGTAATTAAGTACCAGTGCCAGTCTCTTTCTTTCTATCAGTTGTGGCAACGGAGTTATCGTTCTGGGATCAGTTGTATAAAATACTAGTTGACGTTTAACTGTAATTAAGGTCTTAAGGACAGAATTGGCCAATACGAGTCGTGTATTTCTGAGTTAACTAAGATTTAACCGATGCACAATGGCCCCAGTTTTACCAGTGGCGTAACAGAACGATCATTAGGGGGAGGTGAATATTCTTATATCCAGTTCTGCCCTACGGATTCCTTTTGTAATTGCAATAGCTTACAAAAGAAATCTGTCGGGCAGAACTGAATTTATTGAATATTCACCCCCCCCCCCATTATCGTTCTAGTTACGCCCCTGCAGTTCACACTGCTCTCTCACACTCATCAATACATGCAAGTGAAAACCACTCGTCTCAGCACGTTTGCACAACAGGTGGACCTTAAGATCAGCCAGAAGAAGACAGAAGTGATGATACTGAATGTCTCAAACCCCTCGCCAGTCGAAGTGAACGGAGAAGATCTTCCGACAACCGAAGAATTCATCTACCTCGGCAACACTGTAAGGCATGATGGCGGAGCAGGCAGCGACATCAGGAATCACCTTAACAAGGCCAGGAACGCCTTCAGAATTCTAAACAACGTGTGGAAATCATCCCAGTACAGCACCAAGACCAAGCTAAGACTGTATCAGAGCTGCGTACTTTCCACCCTATTGTATGGCTCAGAATGCTGGAGGATGACTGAAAGCGACCTCAAACAACTGTCCACCTTCCACACCAATAACCTTCCACACCAAGAATTCTGCGAATATTCTGGCCCAAGACCTTTTCGAACCAACATCTTCTCGCCCGTTGAAACAAAGACAGCATGGGCACCATCATCATGCAAAGACGATAGAGATGGATCGGACATGTGATGAGAAGAGAATCTGGTAACATTTCCCGCACAGCCCTCCACTGGACGCCAGAGGAGAAACGCCAACAGAGGCGACCAAAGAACACCTGGCGTCGAACCGTAGAAGGGGAGCTTAAGACCCTCAATCACGCATGGGGGACTGTTCAAAAGCTGGCCCAGAACAGAGAGGAATGGAGTACCTTTGTTTCCGCCAGCCGGAATGAGTGAGTGAGAGTGAAGGCAATTCCAACAAAGATATAATGAAATCGTAATGAAGTTTAATGAGGTTGATCATCTTATTATCTATATTGTTAATTGCACTCGACGCGACCAAAATGCGACGTATAACCTAGGCCTAAGTTGGCTAAGGTGCATGCATGTTGTGGGAGATGCTATTTATCTCGTAATTTTCCACGAAAGAAATATTCTTTGTTCTCAACAAGAAAGAATTAGTTCCCTGAAAGCTAATTATATTCCATTTCTAGGAACAGGGACGCGCACCAAATTTAGTCGTGTGATTTCGTCGGAAAACTTTAAATGCTTACAAATTTTTATTATTCAACACATGGTTCAACATATGCAACTAAAATATGCGAAAAAAAATTCACCAAGCTTCTTCAAGATATGGCAAATATAAGGGTTTATGCTTTTGCGTGCGTGTACGTGTGATGAAAAACTCGTAAGTGGCTGCCTGCTTCAAATTGACTTTCCGCTAAACCCGCCCATGCATTATAAAGCTATGGCGGGTGTCTAATTGAATAGGGCATCGGAAATGACGTTACCGATTATTTTTTATTGAGAGCCAAGAGATTGATATCCGCCGTAGAAGACAAAGTATAGTCAGAGTATAACTATAGATAAGATCGTCGGAAATATTAAACTGCATTGTATAATCAACTCAAAAGGGTTGAAGCTCATTGACTATATATATAGCTACAGTGACTTGCGTATCTCGGTGGAGTTTGCAAAATTCTTGCTGGAAATTGAGAGACGAGTCAGACGACGTATAAAACGAGGTATAAAATGCCGACTCTTGCAAGTCTATATCTATACAGCTTTCCTTGTTAATGAAAAGGTTATTAATTTCACATGCATTATATAACTTTTATGTTTTATGACGTTTACCCTATATAGCTAGCTAGCTATACATATTCCGTAGAAATGATATATACATGTCAAGAAAGGTGTTAGACTTGTCATTCCGTTAAATTGCCTGCACGCACAGGGCATTACGTTCAAATTAATGATTTCAATTAATATCGAAAGTAAAATAGCTTAAAGTTTTGTCGCTAAATATGAGGCAACAGTGAATTAGTTTATTATCAAATTGGCACATGGGTCGACTACTACACCCAATTAGTATCAAAGGTATATATTCCAGAACCTAAACCATGCAGACCCTTTTTTAGACAAATATTTTTGACACCAGCTTTCATATTTACTGCGGTTTCCAGCTGAGCGTGAAATTGCGAAACTTTGCTCGTCAGTTATATAAGTTTTGTTGTTTGAAAGCAATGTTTGTGACGTCATCTGATAATGTTGCTAGGTGACGCTCATTATCTTTAAAACGGGAAACGAGTCAGGGAAAGAATAAAACGAAAAACTTGTGCAAAATATATAGTTTTTCGCGCTTTCCTTTTATTCCTCTCAACTGAATTTTTGACTGTTTATATACCGTTCATTTTTCTGCAATTTATTATTTTACTTATTTCTAAACATTCCCGGATATTTAGGTTTAAAACTAGTCTTGTACCAGTTTCGATTTAAAACGTACAGAAACTCAGAAAACCACCTTTAAAATTTAAAAAGCATCAAAGACCAAAGCGACGTTACCAAAGCGACGTATAACCTAGGGCTGAAAAATTCTCTGAAATTGTGCCTAATTATAGCTTTTACGTGAAATATAATCCGTTCTTCTTATAAGACCGTTCTTTGATTTCCTAGAGGGCAATGAAGTCGTATTTACTAGCGAATGTTTTCTTGAACATCCTTCAAGTTGTCTATATGCGAGTAGAGCTTGCAGATTTCTATCCTTATGGACCTAATAATGGAGATCTTCAGGCACCGATCAATGACGATGGTAGTACTGGTCGTATAAATATTGGATTTTCGTTTCCTTTTTTCGACGACGATCACGATTCCTTGTTTGTATGTATATTGTATTTATGAAAGTATTTGCTACCCAAGTTTATAATTAATCACAGTATCTGTCATATAACTTTATATGTCAGTATATTGTCCCACTGAATTGGTGAAAGATAAGTTGGCCTCGTATAAGAAAAGGGCTATAACTATAGCGTAGCAAAGCTGCAGGTTATAATTATATGCACGGTGAACCTATTACGTGTTATAATTAAAATTTAATTATGATTTCAAAGATAATTGTGCATAATTCATTAAATGTAACAAGGAGAAAACATTTGCGCGGATTGTTGCTTGCTTATCACGATCGGTCCTTATCCACTAGTGCATCAATCACTGAATTTATGTTTAACATATATATTCGCGGAAGGCGAGTTTAATGTCACACGGGGAAAATATTTTCCGATTACATTGAATTTGCGAAAAATAATTTGGTCTCGTAAGAGGAGGGATATAGGGTCGCGAATTAAGCTGCAGATTATATTTTCATACAGGGAACCATATCATTACGGTGTTAATTTTCAAATGATTTGAAAGATAATTTATCATAATTTATATAACAGGGAGAAAACATTTACGCGCGTTGTTGTTGCTCTATATCGTGATACCAGTGTCTTGTCAGTCCATCAATCAGTGAATTTATGTTTAAACAATATTCGCGGAAGGCGAGGTAAATATCGCTGAATAAAAGCGAGACGAAGTGGAGGTTTTTATTCAGGTATAGGTTTATGACAATGGTGATTATTTAAAAAAAAAATGCGTTGTGGAAAATACATTTTTTATAACCGTAAACAACTGATTTCGATAATCAAAATAAAACGATAATATAGCGCGAAAAAAATACAGTTTGACAGCGTATTTACTATGAAATAAATCTAGGGCATTTTCTTCGCTTCTTCAAAGTGCACTACGCTTAAAATGCATTTTATCTTCTAAAGGAAACGAGATTCGTGTTTTTCATTATTTATAATTTAATTATTTATCGAAGGCAATTTATTCAGTTAAATTACAGTATATGAACAGACATGTCTGAAGGCTGGCGCATACTGTTTCACTTTGCACGCACAAACATGCAACTCGTGACAATTTTGATCTACAGGTTTCCTAGTCTCAAATTGAGGACCAAATTGAGATATTTTGTCATTCGTGCTCAATTTTGCTGCAAATGACAAACTATCTCAATCAGTTTTTCCTCCCAAAGACTTGAAGCACGTGTAGGTCATGATTGTCACGAGTGCATGGCATGCGCGTATCCATGGAAAGTGCACCAGTGTGCGCTTACAGGGAGATTAAGCTTAAGGCTTTAGGCCTTTTACCGACGACAAAGTTTTTTCTGACAAGATTTTCTATGACAAGTTTCAATTGGCAATTGCACGTGTGTATGCACAACAAAATTTTCTATGACAAGTTTTTCTTCGACAGTTTTATTTGCTCGTGTGAACGTGCCAACAAGTTTACTTTGACAATTTAGTTTGCAGCCAGCGATGTAATCGTACGGCGGACAACGTGAGCGCGCCATTGCAAAATACTATAGACCGCTGGCCTACCGCATACAAGTGCTCACACTATGCGACAAGTTTTCTTTGTTTACTCATACAGACAAGCAAAATTTGCACTTCTAAATTTTTTTTAAGACAAGTACATTGTTCAAATTCAAGTATACTCGCGATTTTGAACAAGTGTACTTATCATAGAAAAAATTGTCGAAGTTGGGCGTACAGACGAACAATTAAAACTTGCCACATAAAAATTTGTCACAGAAAACTTGCTCGTCTGTAAGAGGCTTTAAGGACACGAAGTCATCGCTGTGTGAACATGCAATATTGAATGTATATAGCTTTAATTGGCGCCGTAAACTTTTTATCAAGTGGCTGGGACAATATTATTGTCTGCCTCTTTGCATGCAGATTTCTAAAATATAAATATAGAATGGTGAACATCAATTCATTTTATTTTGCACGACTTGAAAATAACCTTATAGCCGTGTATAGTTTATACATTGTCGAAAATCTGGGACATTTTAATTTCGCATGCCTAAATTATTTATGGTTTTTTATTATTCAAAACCCGATTTTCTAATACTCTGTATGAAATATTGATGTCGTTGGGGATGTTTCTGCGCCCAAGAGGTTATTACAATATTTAAATGTTTACTGCTGACCACAAACAGCAGGCGTTGTGATTATAGGCCCTATATACTTAAATTAAATTGAACTGGCACGCATATTAGCTTAATATATCAAAAGTACTTCGACAGACCCTGTGATTTCGACAAGTGTGATTTCAAAGCACTCTTTCATAAGTTTGTTTACCCGACATATTGTTACATGGCAAAAAAACACTTTTAATATAATTGAAATTGCTTACATAAACTATCAACATGGTCAGCTGTTCTTTGTTGTAATAAGCTATTGCTTATCTCATTGAGGTCGTTTAAAGACCACATTGATATCTAAGACGCAAGGAATCAGGTCTATTATTAAATATCCTGCATTGTTTTGCTCTGAGTCTTAGAATTCTAATAATTAACATTAGAAAGATATACATGCAACATGTTATTAACCGGTACTAAAATGAAAGTACTTATACGCTGAGTTGATTCGATCAATGTCTACATCTATTTATACCGCTATATTAAATGATTCATGGAATTTAAATTTTTCTCGATGTGTCTGTAGACGTTTCTCTTCAATTCCATAATTAGTTTTCGAAATAAGTAGAAAAAGCGTTCCTCAGAGCTATGCAATGAAGTCGTATTTACTAGTAAATGTTTTTTTGAACATCCTTCAAGTTGTCTATATGCGAGTAGAGCTTGAGGATTTCTATCCTTATGGACCTGACAATGGAGATCTTCAGGCACCGATCAATGATGATGGTAGTACTGGTCGTATAAATATTGGATTTTCGTTTCCTTTTTTCGACGACGATCACGATTCCTTGTTTGTATGTATATTGTATTTATGAAAGTATTTGCTACCCAAGTTTATAATTAATCACAGGAGCAAGGCGTATCTGTCACATGCAATGAAAACTTTATCGGCAAATTAAGTAAATTTGATCGTCTAAAAGAGGGTTCTATATAACTAGGGTTGCATTTGAGCTGAGAATGTCGTGGCCGAGTTCAGTGGCGACGAAAATGGGGGCCAAGGGGAATATAGCTCCCTCAGAAGTAAATGTGGATAAAAATGCATGAGAAATGTGAGCAAACAAGTGACAAAGAAGTCGTCAAGCTGCAACTTACACATTAAAATGAGATGTCATGCATACATCTTTCACACTGCTCATATATGCAAGTTCTCTGCAAGGCGGTTCTCTCTTAGTAGACTATATGGACTTCTAGCTACAAATATTTTTAGGTATATGAAACTAACATAGGTTTCAGTTGATCAAAATTTAAGTTTGAATGGTGTTTAAGGCTAAATAATTTGCCACATGTCTTGTGGATATATGCTTACAACATGGCGTGTATTTAGGTTTTGCCACGTGCCAATTCCTACAGGCAACATGACGTATACAGCCTGAATATTTGAGAGAATACCTCAGTCGTCAGACTATGGCCTTTGCAATAGCTATTGTCTACCTCAGTATGATCTTTGTATAGAGCAAAATTTATATTTAAAAAAACCAGTCCAGTCTCAAAAAATCAATTTCCGTGTACAAAAAAAGTGACCGATGGCTTCGACCAATCAGGACTCGCGTTATATAGCTACATGTTATTTTTATAAAATAATATGAATCTTCAACGTGTGTGCGAGAATAATGAAAATGGCGCCGTCAATAGCGAAGGTTGCAGTGGAACTTTCGGTTTAAGGCGATGATGTGATTAAAATGTATAGGAAATTTTAAGTGGAAGTCAAGTCCGTTCTGCGCATCTGTTCTGCTCATAACAACCTTTCTCATCAAAAATACTAGTTTCTTAATCATGAGGGAGACTAATTCTAAAAAGAGCAAAAGGCCTGTTACGACTTACGCGAGAACGAGGCTAGTCAGGTTTTCTTTTTCACGCCGTCTACCTGTGTCGAAAATATACCACTAGTTTTGCTGGTAAATATTCTTCTTGTTGCGTACAATCTGTCTTTTTCAGGTAAACACGAATGGTGTGATTTCTTTTCTTCGCGAGGTGTCGCAGTACACACCTGATCCTTTTCCACTCTCAAATAACCGTCGTCTGGTCGCGCCATTCTGGGCAGACGTGGATACAAGAAAAGGCGGCGTTGTTTACTACAGAGAAACTCAAGACTTTTCTATTCGCACACGAATCTCTGAGGAAATAAGGAATTTTTTCGTCCGCCAAAGAGGTTTTTTAGCAAAATGGGCTCTGATAGTGACTTGGTTGAACGTTGCTCGCTTCGGAGGACCATCCTCCCCGAATGTAAGAAAAATTGTCTTATTAATAAAGTCATATAGTCAAACAGCTTGCAATTGCACGAGTCATTTCGCAGTTGACGTGCACGGGTCGAGCGGGAACAGCCTTCTGCCCTTTAGCACTGTTTTCCACTGTCGCGTATATGGACGTAAAAGTTTAAAATAATTTAATTAAAATAATTAAAATAATTTAAAATAATAAGTGAGACTTATGAAATCAACGATTGAATAGATGCATAGGGGTGAATTCTGTTGAAGATTTGGTGTGTTTTCTCTGGCATAATATTAATTATACAACAATTTAAAAGGTTTTAAGCTTTTGCGTGCGTGTACGTACGTGCAAAAAACGCGACAGTGGAAAGCAGCCTTTAGAGGGTGTGTAAAAGAAACGCAACATAACCACTAAATATTCGGGTAATTGGCTAACGTTAAAGAAATAATTATAGAAAACTAAAATTTTATGGAGGGTTCTATATAGTAGAGCTCCTCCCCACTCCCTGGATACACTCCGCGGGCCCCGCCCTTCCCTGTGTCCGTAAATGAGTAATTTTCAGTAGCGTATATAGCGTGCCTGATTATTTAGGGGCTGTTTACATCAGCTGGTTATGCCCAAGATACCACTTATAATAATTTTTTTATCATAGTCATGCTACGGTAATACTTTGTTATCAAAAGACTGTAAAGTATTATTTACTGCTAGTGTTTTCGGCTGACTAGTGCGAGAATGGTTATTTATTGCACAGGTTTAACGTACTTACTATAGTACATACCCAATTAAATTGGATTATTAAATTGGAATTCTCATTAAAGTATCTAGATTGGCAAAATACCATTCTTTTTATATAGAACACATTTCAGACTATATTGGCAACAGACGGTGTCAGCTCGTTTTCAATATTTCTCTATAATAAAATCACATGGACTTTTGGTTCTGCAAGCGACAATACAGCAGCCCAGGTAATGAAGAAAATGCATTATTTACTATCATCAATGAAGAATACAACAGGTGAAATATAGATAATATTCACACAGCAATCCAAACAATCAAATGCCAACGCCACTGATTACATTAATTTTATCCAAAGGAACGTGATTACTCTGTTTTGAATTATTACGGAAGTTTTTTTAAGTTTTTAAGGCAAAGCCAATGAAAATGCCCAAATTTTTAACACTTCATGTAAAATGGTAAATAATGTACTCTTGTAAACAAACTTGTTGATTTGTCTAAAGCGAAATCCCTCCTTGTTGTAAGCAAAGGCCCAAAAGCATGCAAAGTTCATGCACTGCTAAAGCTCGATCCCTAATATATCTTTCCAGGCTGGTTTCAATGCAGGTGACGGTATTCGATATTTTAATATCCCAAATTCTCGCACTCCCGCCATTATCAACATTGCCTCGACATCAAATTGTCAAGTGCCAGGGAAATGGATCTTCAAGATCGACGGGGATGAAGTTGTGGATAATGGTTGCACATCAGATGGCGGTAAGAGAAAGTTAACGCTCATATAACATTTATATTTTATTATAACCAGATTCAAATGAGGGTATAAATTATACGCAATAACAGAATAAGGGTATAATAACTAATAACTGATTATTGACCTCGCTTGTTCCGTCTGTACTGTGAAATATCAGACCGAAGCTTTTTAGTATGCAAAAAACCTCGGTCTGATATTTCACAGTACAGACCGCAAACAAGCGAGGCCAATAATCTGTTTATTATATGGCTGAGCTGCATGAGACATCCGGGATACTGGTCCAGATACGGAATATAGGAACCACGGTCCGGATATAGGATTTTACGCACCGCTCGTCAACCAATCAGAATAGAGGATTTTGAAAAGCCATATAATAAAAAAAAACTTTTCTGCTTAATATTTCGTTGCGGCGCTGGAATACACAAAATTTCCCTCGCGGTATTTGTTTAGATTTGGAACTTTCGCCCAGATCAGGGATTGAATTGGGAGGTACTAAAGTGTTTATTGGAGGTCCATGTTATAATCCTGGTGATGAGATTGTGTGTCGATTTAACAAGACTATTAACACAACTGGTGTGATTGTCAGCTCTAAACTTGCGTACTGCATCACTCCTCCATTATATAAAATGTATGGTCGTATGCCAATGGATGTTTCACTAGATGGTGGCATAACGTTCAATCATACTGGTATATTTAGATCAAGTGAGTGAAGAAAACTGATTTTATAACAGGCAGAGATATAACTAACTCTTTTTTACAGCTTTTATAATACAAATACCCAACTTTCACGGATACGTAATATGGTTAATTTTCACATTTGCAAGGCTTACCAGTCCAGAGCCTTATTAAAGCCAAACATGAAAAAGCTTTGAGTTTTGAACAGTATTTCGAAAATAGCATCGTTCTTTTTTCATTCTAGTTCCCTTGGCTAGAAATCCTCCGGACATAAAAGGACTGGAAGTTGAAAATTGGGCAAACTCCACGAAAACTATCTTGACATGGAACCCGAGTGCAGTCAACTCTACGTACGTTGACATCGAAATATCTGCATTTGACGCTTTCAAATTTTTGCTTCATGATGTTAGTTTGGCTAGCTTTAAAGAAGTTCTTAATTCTGGCAGTTACCATCTTGATTTCAGCGCACATGTCTTCTCGACGTAAGTATATCAGAACAATGAAATCATATGGTAATTATAAACGTGTGCATTTGTTTAGGTACTGATAACAAATGAAAAGACCATTAAGGTACAAGGGCCGGTTGTATCAAGCCCGTTTAGCTTAAAAGGTGGATATGTTCAAAGTAGAATGTAAGTCTATCGTTTTAACATAGACTAACAAGCGAACTAAATACTTTTGCCCTTTTGACTTTTTGACCAAAGATACTGTTTACAACTACCTATTCAGTGCATAATATTCAAGTTGACTCATTCAAAAGAGTTCTGAGAGTGTTATTTAATTTTGACTTATCCACCGTTTAAGCTAAACAGGCTTGATACAACCGCAGCCCCAGGGCATTGAGGACCGCTTACACTAGCAACTGCTGTGATTTCCGGTGCAATTTTCTTCTTTTGACAGATGGAAACGAGCAAAGAGTTATGAATACTCCGCGTTTATTAATGTTATCTATCCGTAGCTAATGTACAATACTAAACAATACTAAACAATACTAATGTATAATAACACTTATACATATGGTAATTTAACAGGAGAAGGCGGCGAAGAAGTGTGAATACAGCCTCACCAATTGCAATTGTTAAAATAACCCCATCGGCACCCAGAGTCAAACGATTTGGCGTCACTCCTAAAAACGCGATATTCAGCAGTGTTTTTCTAATTACATGGCAGATATTTAATGATATCGAATGTTGGCATTGGTCAGAATTTGAAAATAGTACAGAAATCGCAAAACTGCAAGGTAATTGTCATGCAGGAAATAAAGTACAGCTGTTCTGAACATCGCTTTCAGTAACTGCATGTGGAAAATAATCATTTGGCTTTTTCTGCGTCCATAATTGTTTATTTATTGGCGTGTTCATAGGCATACGGGACAGGGGGGGCAAAATTTCGAGTATAAAAAAAATCTGGCAAAGTTAAGCCGAAAATTCGGGCAAACTGAAAAAAGTTACATAAGCTAAAGTTTTTAAAACCAAATTTTGTAATATATATCACATCTGGCGCTTTGCCAAGTTTATTGTTACAAATCTGGTAAAAGTTAAAACTCGGGCGACTCGTTGTATGATTGGAAAATTCGGGCGACCCTAAAATTGCCCCTCCCAAACGAAGTTCCGCCCGTACGCCTATGTGCGTGTTTTACCAGAGGGAGAGGTGATCGAGATCAATTCGTACTCTATCATCCCATGTACGATCATTTATGATATAAATCAATCTCTGCCATACCCACTAGGCTGTGAAAATAGTAAAAAAAATTAAAATTGGGTATATCAGATTCACTATTTTAAATAATTTTAGTCGTCTGAAAGGACAAAATGTCAATGACATGAATAAACAAAACTACTAGAAATACATGCATGCAGCAACCCCTCGCCATTTTAAACGAAGCAAAATATTTCGTGCGCTACCCAGACCTAACTTTCTACGCTAATATTATGAAATAACTCGTGCAAATTTTTCGAAAACAAAGACAGTCGTAAAGGTGAACAGAAATCACCTGTTTGCCTGCTGCAATACGTTGCAGTTTAAGTCAGTTTTAAACTCTTCTATAGCTAAACCTTCAAAACATCAAAACGGCACAAATAATTATAATAACCATACAAGCACTAAAAGTCGAATGTTGTTTTTCGATTATTTATTTTATTCAATGATTTTAGCAACTATATAAGCTGCAAAGTGATATTTGTTTTATCAAAACTCTGAAGTACACTTTTGAGAACTCTTTTTAAAGTTTAAGCGATGATTTAAAGCCTTAAACGGTCGGTTAGCTCCTTGTAAAACGACATACCAAGCTCGTACTTGTCAAAATAACCAAAATAGACACCTGTCACTTCAAAGATTATAAACTACGAGTCGTTCCTATTTCACCAACTGTTTCTGTACTGTGATGATCATTATTGTTTTACTATTTGACTCCATGATTTCATTTTATATTTTTAAAGAATAGTTTGCAAAATGACGGTTAAAATGCTGACGCTCTCATGCATGCTCTCTTTTTGTCTTAGCCAATCAGCAAGTTGTAGACGACCGTTCTTTCTTCGTTCAAATTTCGCGCATGCGCACAACTACCATGACCATTGAACGTCCATGACATTTGGGCAACTTTGGATTCGCCTATGTTCTGTCAGAATACCGGGTGTAATTCCTAATCTCCGGGCGGGATTAGTACCCACGCACGGCGCTTCGCGCCGGCTCGGGGATAAAGATTCTCATTACTTTGAATGCGTAATCTTATGACCCAAGCTTCGTTTTGTTGGCGAATTGACCTTTTTGGTAATTACGTCACAAGATTTTAACGTCACAACGTTTTAAATTTAGAACCACCTTAAATGAAATGGTTTTCAAGTTTTACTCGAAGAAGGATGTTTTGCATCTTTTGCACATAGTTGTGGGAGTTAAACTTGAAATTCCATCTCATTTAAGGTGGTTTGAAATTTAAAGCGATAATGTTGTGATGTAATTATCATGAGATAATTGACCAGAAACAAAAATATTAGGAATTTCAAAAACTATCATGCAAGATTGGAAATATATGTCTGTCTGTTGAGAATGTTTCCACCATAACACCTGGGACTAATTTTAAAATTAAGTTTCCAAATTAAATTTCAATATGATTTCAATTTTTAGCTGAGACACTTGAAAGAATAAGCACTGCTGCATATCAGTACTTAATATATAAAAATGATATACATCCCCCGCTATATGCTTGATATTCATACATCGCTATATTTATATTATACTCTTACAGAGGAGCTGATTCCATGTCCAACCAGTTTTCGACAAATGTTGGCTGATTCTGGTCAGTTTATCCGAGATTCTGGGATTAAACGAATGCTAAGCGCATATATCTATCATCGCGGTAGTTCAACATGTTTTCGCTCCAGAAACCCAAGGTATGGTAACTACGGTTATAACTTTTAAGCCAGGGGTCGGTTGTATCTAGCCCGTTTAGCTTAAACGGTAGATAAGTTCAAAATAGAATGCAAGTCTATCGTTTTACTCAACCAGTGAACTAAATGCTTTTGACCTTAATAACAAGTACGATTGTACTATAGTGGACCAGGAATTGCGTAACCGAGTTTAATTTCTGAACTGCATTGTATTTATAACAAAGGAGAGGACAATGTATTTCTAATCGTTTGCATTTGCTTATACAGGGTGTCCCAAAAAAACCGAAAACTATTGAAATCACCCATAACAATTTAATTGTTAGAGTTTGAATGCCTAAGCACTCTGTTGGGACCCACAGGTGTGTAAATGTTTGCTATAAGCATTTTTATGCATGCATATGATGCAGTAAAATTTGCTCGTACGCGAAAATGATATTTATTAACAATATTTAAATGTGCATCTCAATCACCATGACCTTCGACATGTCCCCTTTCTCTAGCAACACAAAACATTTAGCATTTTACTGAGTTGCATTAAATCACCACAGGCTAAAATTCGTGCACACGGCATTCAAATTTTAACAAAGTGTGATTTCAATAGTTTTCATTTTTTTGGGACACCCTGTACGTATATAGGCTGAATATTAATGATATGTATATATTATTTGCTGCAAATATATCAAGAATTGCTTGTAACTTGCTTCAAAGGTCAAAAGTAAAAATTCGAACTCCGTCAATCGATGCGGAATATTGCTTAGAATAATTGTGCCAAGTTTCATTCCGATCAAACAAGTAATGATAGAGCCTTAGGGTTTTTTTAAAGAGCGTCGCCCCCTAACAACAACAAGAAGAAGATTTGCAGCGGTTAGGGACCAGTTCCTGGTCCAAAAAGATGCTGTTTACAACTACATATTCAGTGTATACAACACGTCAAGTGTTCAGCAACAGTTGGTGGCTGATGTAATAGAGTATTTTAAGATTGTATCATTCCTTATCAGTTTAATGTATTCAGTTAATAATCTATTTTCCGGATTTCCTTGTTTTCTTTGCCCACAGGATCGGTATATTCTTGATTAATTTATATTTTATGTCATTCCCCGTATTAAAAAACATCGCGACAGTTTACATGCACGGGGATCGTGGGATCGATCTAGGTCGAACTACAGTATGTCAAGTGTAAAAAAATATCGTAGCGTGTTAGTTGTTTTGGAGAATAATATGTCCCATTTTGTTTTCTCAGTCCATCAGGTGCCGGTCAACAATGTTGTTATAATAGTGCAGGTTCATTGGTCGTGGGATCGCCAGGCGGTGGTTCTTTCGATAAGAAATCACCGGATGAGGATTTCTGGGGGCATATGGGACTCGATGTCCTTCCTTGGTTTGCTTGCTGTGGATTCAGTGAAAACTGCAAAAAATATTTTGAGAAACGACCATCTGATGATGGAAAGCGATATGTTCCTCCGCCAATTGGTAAGCTGAGTATTTTAACTGCAAATTTACACATTCGTGCAGTTTAATTGATAGAAAATTTCGCTTGCTGGTTGATGCATGGGCGCTGATGATCATCGCCTTGGGCGACTAATTGTTAAGTAGACGCTTGCTACTATACGATTAATTTTGGATTGATTTGAAAATATCGGACTCTGTTGCAGCGGATACAAGAGGGGATCCACACTTATCCACGTTTGATGGCACATTCTACACATTCAATGGTTACGGTGAATATATTCTTCTACATGTGAACAATGGCACTGATTTTGAGTTTCAAGGAAGAATGAATCCCATCACTGACAATCAAGGAAGCACGACAAAGGCAACAGCGCTTACAGCATTAGTTGCCAAAGCAGCTGAAAGTGATACGGTACAGGTAAGACAACCACGAGAAACCGATGTGAGTTGTCATTTCTCCGTGTTTTCATTCCATCGTATTTTCATTCCATCGTGTTGTCATTCTATCGTGTTGCAATTCCACCATGTTGTCATTTCACCATGTGTGATGTCATTCCACCATGTGTGATGTCATTCCACCATGTGTGTTGTCATTCCATTATGTTTTCATTCCACCATGTGTGTTGCCATTCAACCATATGTGTTGTCATTCCATTATGTTGTCATTTCAACATATTCGTTTCCATTCCACCGTGTGTGTTGCCATTCCACCATGTGTGTTGTCTTTCCACCATGTTTGTTGCCATTCCACCGTGTGTGTTGCCATTCCACGAGGTTGTCAATCCACCATGTGTGTTGCCATTTCACCATGTGTGTTGCCATTTCACCATGTGTGTTGCCATTTCACCATATGTGTTGTCATTTCACCATGTGTGTTGCCATTCCACCGTGTGTGTTCTCATTCCATCGTGTGTGTTCTTATTCCATCGTGTTGTCATTCTACCATTTTATCATTCCACCGCGTTGTCATTCTACCATGCCTTTTTTACAATTGTAAAACATATCTCATTAAAATGGCCTTCACTCTAATTAGAAATGACTCAAATTAACAAAAATTACATGATAACATTGTTGCTTTTATCTCATAGAGCTAAATTATTGTCTTCTGTTCTAAGATCGAGTATAACAAGCGGAGAAAGATAGATGTTCTTGTCAACGGTGATCGAGCAGAATTTGACGAAGAATCAAGATTAGATTATACAGGAGTATTTGTTGTTAAACAGAACCAATCAAAGATAGGCGTCTACTTCGCTTCAGGGGAATCTCTCCATATCACAGTTGTTGAAGAGTTTTTAACCTACCAAATATCAATTCCAGTCAGATACAAAGGTTGGTGGTGGTGGACTAAAAGCAATACTTTAAGTAGATGTTCCAGAGAGCATACTTTGTTATAAATGTTTTCATAAGACAGACTTTTTCATAATAAATTTGAGTCTTTGAATAGTGCATGATATCACTAGCGAGAAACGTTTCTGTGATATTTTCTCGGCAATAATTTACTCCACTTACTTGATTTCAAACAGAAGCGAAATATAATTAACCGTTGGGTGATGATTAAGCTTGGCAAGTAATTTGCATAGGATGTAAGACAGGATTAATCTAATTGTCAATGCAAACAATGCATAATAAAATTATAAATATTCGAAAAAAAAATAGTTTTAATTTTATCTGTTAATTTTTTTCTCAGTTTCGTTTTGCATGCACAATGAATTGTTTCACATTATTTTCAACCTCGAATTTAACTTTGAATTTATTCTAAATAGCAAGGCCCGCAATTGAGAGAGAACCACAAGTCCCCCATCCCATGCAATCAACAAAGGCGTCACCGGAGATCAAAATTATCGGGCTGCATGTATTTTCCGCTCATGCCCCTCTTTTCTCGCCTATTTCCCGCCTATGCCCCTCCTTTTTCCCCCATGCTTCTCCTTTCTCAACCGTACCGAACGAAACTCTTGCATCAGGTTGTTGTTGCTAACTCAACTTGCATTGACTAGCACTAACTCACTAGTCACTAACTCACTTGCATTGCCTCATTAACTTGCATTAACTCACTTGCAAGAGTTATTCCAACGCCCGCTGTCCTGTGGCTAATGTCTTTGGTTAAAATTTGTTTGTTTAGGAAAAACAGCTGGTCTTCTGGGATTTTGGGATGACAGCAAGGATCAAGAATTCTTGTTGCCCAACGGAATTTTCATTCCTACGAACTCAACCTCGCAAACCATTCACAATGAATTTGGTCAGAAATGTATGTTTCAACTTTTAAGCATATGTTTATTGTTCAAATAATAATTTTCATGCTAACGTTAATATACTCAGCCTGCTAGAATACCAGTCTTGTCGGAGCAAGAAGCTTTTTGAACTAATGTTCCCAATGGTGTAGTGGTGAAACAACCCTACTGGTAACGGGAAGTGCGGGTTCCCATTGTGAAATTCAGAGCAAAAAAAATAAAGAACAAGAAAACATTAGTTATTTGTGAACTTTTGATATTTATTCTAACGGTAAGGGCCCAAATGAAATGTAGAATTTGCAACTTCTTCAGGGATTGCTACCCAAGAAAACACTCTGTTCACTTACCATTCTGGGAAGAGTTATTCCAGTTTTGTCAACCTCGGCTTCACTCCTGTCTTTTTGGATGACACGTCGTCGCTGTTCTCCAATTCCACATTCGAAGCGGAAGCCAGGAACCTTTGTGGCGGAAATAAAGAATGTATCTTTGATGTTGCAGTGACTGGAAAGACAAGTGTTGGTGAAGCTACTTTAGAATATTTTAATGAACTAATGCAAAGAACAAATAACTCACGAATCGGTATGAAATTAAAATATGTATAACTGTATTTAAGCTTCTCATAAGTAACATCAAATAGTATAACAACTGCCTAAAATAGACAAAACGCTTCTCGACGTTTCGACCTGAGAGCCTTCGTCAGGTGAGTTAGTAAGTACTATTTAAGGTAGTTTCAGTAAGTACCTGTCTACTTTAGGCAGTTGTTATACCACATTTGATGCTAAGTTGTTTGAAGACGCTGCCACACTGTTCCCTGGTTATATTCTCATATCAATCTACTGACACATATTTAACAACTCTAGTAAAACACAGCAATAAATGCTGTTACAAAATATATGCATGTAAGTACATTATAATTATCCATGCTCTCCTTCCCCTTCGGAGGTTCAATATTAATATTTTTCCAGCACTAAACATGAGCGGGATTTACATAGGGACGGCAGCTCCATATTATGAAGCATGCAGGTTGGCTGTTCAACTTCTATTTTGCATTTCAGTTGCTATTCCTATCTTCTTCGGTTGTGATGGTGTTGAGAATAGTATGAAACAAACAGATTCTTGTGGTGTTTGTGATGGTGATAACTCAACCTGTACAGACTGTGATGGGAATATCAGACCGGGTTTTGTTAACAACGGAACGTGTGCCGGTAAAAATATTTCACCAATATTTATTAATGCTTATAAAAAAAGCACGCCATATCTAGCTTCGTTTCTGGTCCCGCTTTATCCTATTGCTCTCTCAGGTCGTCTCCATGAAATCAAGTTAAACTTATTTATAATTGCATTTTCAACCCAGAGTCGTTTCTTCTTCAGTGTGAAAACGAGCAATATGGTGGCCATCCCTATTCAGCTATTCTCAAATAGGTCTATCCGAAAGTCACAACGATAATCATGTTTTCCTCCCGCCAAAAATTCAAACATATCAGTTTATTTGGATATGTATGTTAGAAGTTACATATCAAATGACGAGGCCAGTTTTGAGTTCTCGAGAAAAACTCTGCGTAAGTTCGCAACAAGCCTCTTTCAATTTCAATCATGAAAAGGTCTTTGCTGAACATTGCTGAAACGGGCCGAAAAAATTACCCAGGCCGGGAGTACAAATTGCCTTATTAATGACTTATTACTACTTATTTTAGCAAAACTACCCCTAATTTCATAGACTCATAGACGCCGCCTAACTACCCCCCCCCCTCTCCCCCGCCAAGTACGCCTATGTTCTTATTATTATCTTTAGTTTAAATGACAGAGTAGATTCGCTTTATAGAACTGATGAAAAGCTCTTAGAAATTCATGAACAATATTTTTTACCTTAAATTTCGTTATTATATCTCAGGCTTTCACGATGGTTGGAGTGAGTGGAGTGCTTGCTTCAAGAGCGGTGACGGGAAAATAAGAACACGAAACCAAACCTGCTCTGTCAAAGGACGTTGTGGTCATTTGGCTGAAAATATACAACGCCAAACGTGCAATGATGAGAATGATGGTAATCGTTTTTCAAATATATTTCATTAATAAATATAATCTTTTTATATAAAGTAATCAAATATTGCCGTTTGGTTACCAAGCGGGATTGCGATATTAATATATTTGTTATGTCAGACTGCAAACTATTTATGCATGATGTTCACGAATGATTGGGCGACAAGACTAAGGAAAGTTTGCTTGTTATATCAGTGACAATCGACTTCTACCCCCTGACGAGAGAAAGAGAGTAAAATTAACTTAGCCTCTTTAGCCTGGAGTAGCCTGAAAGGCCCACAAACACTCGGTTTTTTAGCGAGTAAATTTGATTCTATAAGGAATTTTGAGAGCTATATTATGCCCCAGGCATGTCAAAAGGTGCTATCCTTCAGTAATTATCAAGAATATCATAACTTGATCGAACTATTAAAGTTGCTTTGGAAATTATAAAATTCGTAAAAATCACGTGGCATCGACGACGGACGTGGCGTCGACCATAAGGTCGGCACAGACCCGACGCGTTGCGGCAACGCGACGTGAATTTTCAGTTTTCAGAAGCAAATAAATTCATTTCAGCCGGAAGAAAAGTTTGGAATCTATGGACGCCGGAGTAGTCAAAATGTATTATCGTTAACGGTAACCTACAGGGCCGTAACTAGAACGACAATGGGGGGGTGTTTATTCATATATTCAGTTCTGCCCGGTGGATTTCTTTTGTAAGTGCAATAGCTCACAATGGAAATCCGTCGGGCAGAACTGAATATAATAATAACCCCCCCCCCACAATTATCGTTCTAGTTTCGGCCCTGGAACATTTTTGTATTTTTAACTTTGTTTCAAAACTTTTATTCAAGCAGGCTTTTATGATGGTTGGAGTGAGTGGAGTGCTTGCTTCAAGAACGGTGACGGGAAAATAAGAACCCGAAACCAAACCTGCTCTGTAAAGGGACGTTGTGGTCATTTGGCTGAAAATATACAACGCGAAAACTGCGATGAGGAAGATGATGGTAATCTTAGTTTTTAGTAAATCATCCAAAAATATTAAAATACTCTAATTTACACTTAAGATTAAAAAAATTACAATTTGGTTACCCAAGCCCCAATAATATTTATAGTTCGCGTAAGTTATGCATCCTCGTTCCCAGGGCCTTCAGTTGGGATTGGCCGTTCACTGAAATACTTACATTTCGTAGGGATTTGAATAAGCATAATTTATCATAAAATTTTGCTTAATATTTGCAAAATGCGGGCATCACGTAGAACGGATAATATTGTCGCATTAAAGCATATTGGAATTGTACTATTTCGATACAATTATAAAATATTCCGCCAATTATACATAAATTAGGAAAAATATTGGCTTGAAATAGATCTATTTGGCTTGTTTTGTTTCTAACGTTATAGCGTACGTTATACGTCATAGCCAATTCATCATACTTGAAGCTTGATCTGCATACAATAATTTCTTCAGCATATACTGTACAACTAAATAACCGCTAAATGGTGACAGCCTACCACATATGCATGTGTAGTCTCTACAATAAATATTTTTTCAAAATTTTGTGTTTAGCTGAAAGCAGATCTTCGGTGTTTTATTTTCTTGCTATTGGAGTGCCTATGCTTGTTCTCTTTCTCATGGTATCGGCCGTGGGGTTGTTTTACTGGTCGTTCAAGAAGAGGCAAGAAACAGCTGGCAAACCTGGTGGTGAAATCGATGCTAACACGTATATGATGAGCTAGATGAGGTTAGCCTTGCAGTGAAATACAGGATTGAAGCATTAAAGTTCTTCTATTCGAGTTTAATAGACGTAATCAAAATATATCCAAACAATACTTAGATAAAGTTTCTAAAACATCCTGTTCCGTGCCATTAGTTTCCTTTCGACCTTTCGGTCCTTTCCGGTAACACAACACAACTAAGAACCACCTTAAATGAAATTGACAATCACAACACGTCACAGTCTTACACAACCTGAGCTAGGACAGGCTCATTTGAGTTTTGTACAAAGATGCAAAACAATCTCTTCAACAAATGCATTAAAACGTTTCTCATTTCTCTTTTAATCGTAAGATGCATGTTGAAATAATCGTCAAGCCGAATACGAGCCTAATTAACACTATACCGGCTAATTGGATTGTACACCGATTTATCGTTTAAAATAAAAAAAAATTGAGGAAGGGATTTTTGCTTCATCGAACATAGCTAAGGGCGGATTCCACTTGCAGAGAAATAGGTCGCCAGCGAAATATTTGCATATTTTCTTTAGAATTTTAACAGCATAATACAATTTAGTTCAACTTGACTCTTTAAAATTCAAAAGAAAATATGCAAATATTTCGCTAGCGAGCTATTTCCCTGCAAGTTGAATTCCAATGAGCTTAAAACATAAAATGAGAGAAACGAACGTTCTTTAATACTTTCTTTTAATACTATATTAATTAAAGAGTCCTGAGATGAAAACAGTTGTGACGTGATTAGCGAACGACTTTCATTGATAAATGTAATTTGTAAACCTAAGGCCTAGCTTCCATTTATTCGTAATTGTTGTGAACATGTCAAAGTGGCTGATGTGATAAAATATTTCTATGTGTGTGCAGTCAACGATGACCGGCTTGAATACAGAAATAAAGACAAATTTACATCCGGACTATTCATCATGGGTTAAAAATTAAATGACCTGTTCATGACAATTACGAATAATGGAAACCAGGCTTTACTGCTGTACGGTGAAATACGAACCGCAGGAATACTACGTTCAGATTGGTCTAGTGTATTTACTAAGAGTTCGACTAAATTTCAGCTTAGTCGTGGATTATCGGTCCATGAGTTCATGAGTTTGTGAACTTGTAAATGTTAGTGTATAGGTAAGTAAGGTAACCATGCAATGGCGAGTATAATTTGGGAACAATTGTACGAATGATGTTTGAACATTTTGCCAAAATTCTTTGGACGAGCGGCCAGGGTGAGTTCTGATCTTTTTTAGTTCCTTCACAGGGCATGCAGTTTAGTTTATATGCCAATATCGTTCCGCCATTTTGTTTATTTTGGCAAAATCATCACTGCACATTACTGCAGCATAATTAAGGAAACAACGGCACTTCTTTCGATCAATCAGGATCTAGTAATTTTAGTATGCTAATAATCTAATAATATATCACAATACGTACTGAGAGGTAATTCATTATTGTACTATTGTAAAAAGGATTTGATTTATGTTAAGTAATATTATACTGTAATATTAATACCGTGTAATTAAATACCAGTGCCAGTCTCTTTGTTTCTACCAGTTCGTGAAGCGGAGTTATCGCTCTGGGGCCAGTTGTAAAAAGGACTAGTTAACTTTTAACTGTAGTTACGGATGGAATTGACCGGCAATCAGAGTCGTGTATTTCTGAGTTAACTAAGATATAACTATGCAGAATGGGCTCAGTTCACATACATACAGTTCCTTTTCAGTCTGAAAAGCTATTTGCACAAATCGGACTATACTGAATATAGTGCACCTAATATTGTCTGACGCGGTTTAAGCCAGGTGCACACCACACGCAAGTCGACGACCGACTAAAATCGTACGACAAAAAAATCTCGTCGTCTGCGCCTGGCTTTATACAATGTCAAATTTATTGTGTGATCACAGTTGAAAAGGCAACTGCTCCTAAGTTTGAATTTTCAAACGGTATCTGGTAGAAATATTCAAGGCAAGTAAAACAATGGTTAACATTGATTTATTCATCGTAATACTCGCTGCAAAACACTTAGAACTTTGGATTTACCAATGCAAATTTTTAAGTGCATGTGAACACAGGAAGTGCAAACGAGGCCGTAGTCAGCAAAAGTACTGTCGCGGGGCAAAAGCATTTTCAAAAAAAACAAACAAACTGTATCATGTATCTGCAATGCTAGGGCACAAAGTCGAAGCAAATTTGAAGAAAAATAAAACACATAAATAAAGCCATGTATAAAACCTGTTTTCCATATGTTAGTTAATAATGATAGCCTTAATAATGATAAGTAATTGAGTTTTGCTTACCTTTTTTGGTAGTTGCTCTGGATTATATATTTGCAACTGTGGAAATTGGCGGACCGAATAAATTGGCGCACCGATTAAATGCAACAAAGAATTTTGTCGGTCTCGTAAACTATAGGTATATGTCTATCACCGGTAATCATTCGAATTGTAACGCAGATCATTGATCACACATTACATAACTGAATTAAAACTAATGTGAACTGATGTATCGCAAAAGACAATGCATGCCTTTGCCGTTTTATTGAAATAGAAAGGATGTCTGTTTCTCGCAAAAACACTACTATTTAGAGATTTTGAAATATGTCAGCTTTTAGGAACATATTGCATAAAGTGTAGCCATCAATGAGCGTAACAATTGCGACCAGGAAACTTTTGAATTTCACACAAACTCGCTTATTTAATCAAGAAGCACGAGAATAATAAAAAAGCAGTCGTATGTCCGCAGGGCCGGAACTAGCGCGATTTAATTCGACCGGTAAAAAGTTCTACGTTTGAAAAGACCCACTGATTTGTTCATTCACGTGAACAGCCTACTACAACTATAAATAAATCAACGGCGATTGGTTTCAGAAAATTAAACGCATAATTATTATATTATTATATGTTCGTTCACGTGTGCAACCCCAGGGTTGCGACATTGACAGATTTTCACACGTTCATATTACTAGTCATATTTACACACTGGTCAACGGATCTTTTATTAGCCTCTCTATATTTATCTAAGATTCATAAACTAAGATATAAATATAAAACAATTGCTAAACATGGGACAACGTTTAAAAATAAAGAAACGCGAAATCTATGCCGACGATATGCGCAACAGGCACTGAGTTAGGACATTTGCATATTATGCGCTCATGTGAATCACCTAGCCTGAAAGTTGCACTTTGATGTAAGTAATATTTGGGCCCAATTTGAGATTTGTGTAATAATATAAGGGTTTTTCCTACGGGTGCAATAATGAATGAGTGGTTTCTAAATATAAACCCTTAAACCAAATGCGTGTGAAGATATTCGAGTCGGTTTCTCTCAATATCAACATTCCGACAATTGATGAGGGTCCCAATATGCGCGCGTGATAAGTACAGGTTATGTTCAATTTCGAAATGTATTCTAGTGTATAAATAATCTTATACGTTTACGGCTGATGCGCTACTGAAGAGTGATATTTTGTATATATTTCACCGTTGGGATCGGTTTTATAGTGTCGATGAACGTCGTATGGCAATTGGATAAACGAACATGAGTGATCTAAGCTGTCATCATAACGACGGGGTATTTTTGACCTGGTTCTTATCACAGTTATATATCCGAAATGTTTTAGCATCTTATCTTTATCGCTCGCAAGCAAACAAACGGTGGGAGCCCATTCTTCACTTTCAATACACGACCATTAAAATAAATTTCAAATTACAGAGTGTGTCTATGTTTACATAATGCATTCGATCTGTAACAAAAAATACAAACAACTTGTCTTGTTGTTTATTTGAACCAGCGCGCGCGCACACAATCGCACGAAGCCCTATTAAAATAAAATCATGAACGGCCGTGGGAAATGTATAAGCGGGAAATTCTTTATTCCAAATATTTCCTAATCATTGCGACAAATGTTCACTGGCCGACATGATATCTGTCAACTGAATTCTACCAACGATCAGGCACGATTTTTTGCCTCGAGTGAAAATATTTTCTTCTAAATCTCGAGTATTGTCGTTCGTATGTTGTCCACTTATATTTGGGTAGTGTCTTTCTCGTGTGATCGCTGTTGTTTTAACTTGAGTCCTGCCGTGAGTGTCTGACATTTCGGATGTTACACGAGCTGTCGGCAGTCCTTTGAATTGGCTCCACGCTCCAAATGTGGTCCCCCTCTAAGGCGGTTCAAGCATGCTTATTTATATTAATTTCCCTTGCTACTTCAACGGCCACTCCACAGCTCAACCTCTTCTGCACAAGACAAATTCTGTACTCTAGCTGTCCTATAGTTTCATGCAGCAACAAATATTCAAGCACTTAACAGCCTTCAAATACAAAGTGTTCTCAGGTAGGCAAACCACATTTGAGCGCTCTTTGAACGCATATCGGCGACAGTTCACATCAGCATATTTACTCGTAGTCCTCAAGTGACGTGTTCAATCCTTAATTAAGTACAGTGAACTGCCATACGACTAATTATTTCTTAGCGATTGACAATTGGATGAGATAGGTCCGTTTGTCAAAACTCATTTCGTGTAACGTTTTTATAACATATTGCATGTGAACAAGCTGTCTACGAGATACTATCTCATCAACAGATTGCTCAAGTGTATGTTCTATTCTACTAACAGTTAATTTCTTCCGTTACCAATGCAGAAGTATACAGACTTGGTTGGTGGTATTTCAAATTCAGTAAAACCACCTAACATGATGCAGCCGGCAATGGCCTCAAATTCACAAGCGTGCCAAATGGGCAATGTTCCTCTAAGCCATCCGCAGATTCAGCATAGAACTGCCGGTAATCATTCGCCGACTTTGATGCAAACAGGTTCATCTATTGAGCTGACTCCTCAACTCGAACAAGGTAACGTCAGATAATATAAATAAGCACTCAAGACCTTACTATGTTTTAAACAACAGAGCTAACACCTACCCGGAAATAGGGTCGCCACGCACTAGCAGCTGCCAACTTGAAAATCGCGCTCTTCGTTTTTAATTCAATTTGGTTTAATGAACCAATTTTGAAGCGCACGGCAAATTCGACCACGCAGGGTTAACGACGCAAAATATTCTGTTGTGGGTCTAGGGTCTGATAAACGTGCGGTGAAAAGAGAGCCAGCGCAAACTCCATCCATGGTACAAGTACACGGCGAGAGTCCAAACAATCCGTCCACATCACCAATGGAGCCATCGACACACGAAAATACGCCGAAGCGCAAAAAGAGGCGAAATCGTACGACATTTACGTCCTATCAACTCGAAGAAATGGAAGGAGTGTTTCAAAAGACCCATTATCCCGATGTTTATACCCGAGAGCAACTGGCTTTGAGAACAGATCTGACCGAAGCGCGAGTACAGGTTAGCCATATTGCAATCAATTGTATTCCCATTAAGAGATTGTTATTTTTGATGAGTAATTGCTACATTTCTAGTTTCGTCGGTAATTGTTAGTTTCTGTGTAATGTTTGCTATTCGGTGGGCCTATTGCGAGTGTGTTATTTCGCCGAGCGCGCAAAATTTCGCGTCAGCATGCATGTAAAGATTTCCAGTTTACGCAAATTAATTGAGTGTTACACAATAACCCTAGTTCGAGTAGATCGCTGAAATGTTATTACGCTAGCATGTGAATCATTTGAGCTATGATGCGGTGCTGGTATTTTTGCGTTTTTAATGAACATAAGAGAAATATCACGGCTAACATCTTTATTTACGTTAATACGAAATTTAGTAAAGTGCCGTGCGAATAGCCTGTAGCTATTATAGCGTGGTGTACAAAGGTGTGCATATCGATGGAAAAGCCGCTTTGCTGGGTGATTGAAATCTTGTAGGAAAATCAGAGATTATACCATGCTAAAGCAATGAATTGTGCTACAATTTCTTCCTACTCTAATATTCGTTGAATTCAATCATTTCAATGTATTCGCCAAGAACAGTATAATACAATCATTTCTTAGTCTACGCTACCATTTGTGCTATGTCTGTCAGAAAATCTGACCTTGATCAGTTGATCTTACTATAAAATGCCGCACATGAGTTAAAGATTTACACTTCAGAATCATTGATATTATTTACACAAACATATTTTGCAAAACTAAAACCGAAAAATCGAGAATGAAATTTTGAAATTATAATTATGTTTGACTGGCGGTACGCGGTGAGAAAAAGTTGCAATTATCTAATACAAATTTTTCCTCACTTTCTGTTTACAAACACACTTAATAATCGATCGTGCCGACGATAGTGCGATGATCATTTCATCAGCTCAGCGAAAATTAAACACTCTTTGAAAAGCACTAACTGGCAATTTTGCCTCGTTAGTTCATTATCTTTATATTAAACATGATTAGGCTACTCCAATCATCGCACTGCTTGTAATCGACGCAAGCATATAACAGCGGTTTTCTACGATTTTCTCAGCACAACTGTTCCACTTAACCCTTATTTAAATCTAAAATTTGTTTAAATGCTTTAATTGAATTTATTTGCGCAACATTTATAGGCAGATATTTCAAGTGCGTGCGAACTGGGAGACATGCGTATTTAATTTGCATTTCACGCGCGCAAACTGACCTACATTCAAATTAGACCAAAACACACAATCTGAGTTTGTTTGTTTAGCATTGAGTGCATTTTGCTAACGCTTTTTCTTTGCACACGATTAAAATCTCACCGACAGAAGATTTTTTTATAGAATGACTTCTAAATCGAAAACGCGCGTTCCAAAGTCGAGACGAGTGGGCTCTGTCGGCATTATTCAAAGTGACGCATGCCTGAGCGGTCGTATATTTGTGAAAACAGATGTTTGAATGGACTGCTTCGTACCTCATCATGAAAGAGCAATTTATTTTTCTTAAAGCTGTCAGGCAAATATTGACCTACAGTCAACATAAATGTGATGGTATTGAATAGATTGATAACCGAAAAACCTTGCAACCTAATTTGTGTTCAATTTGAAACATCTATGGATGTATTGTTTTTCAGACTGTTTCCATGCTGTCTGCACAATGCATTTATCAAACAGTGCCCCCTGCTTTTATTCCAACTGCGCCGGTAAACTGTATGTTCTTTTGATTGTGGGATACTTTTAGAAAGCTTGCTAAATTATCACACATGCATGTTTCCCTCTCATTCTCATTGTTTATATACACGGCAATACTTAGTGAATATGATAGATGGTACAAAGCTGTATACATTTGTAAATCTCGCCTGAATTTCAGTCTTTTAGTGGCTATGCATGCTTACTTTGCATTAGATACACGCTGTCTATATATATATACAAAGAGAGAGAGGTGCAATTTTTTATAATTCATACTGACTCAGTTCATGCAAATAAACCAGGGAAAGACAATCACACCAGGAGTTCACAGCAAACATATAGCAGCGTGGTGAATACTGTTGAAACCACAAACACAGAAAAATATTCATGACACATTAACATAACTAGCTCATATTGCGTTTTCTTAAGTTGTATGTGAAGCCACATGCTTTCAATGTTTATGATGTACATAATGATTTGAATTACATCTACATCACATGAAACAAGTTATTCTAAAATTCTGCTTCATATATTTATCCAACAAAAATTTGTTTGAAGGAGTGTTTTTGCTAACTATTGAGTGTCTTTGGGCAGTTATTTTAGTTGCGTGAAAATCTCTCTAATATTTTTATTTTTATTAAAATGAGAAATAATTAATGTTCTTCTATTTCGCATGCATGTCAGATAAATTTAGATGCCATATATAAAAACATAGTTATATATTATTCAGATAACTCCTCTGTTCTGTTCCCTCTAGTCTCTACAAGCAGTAAATTTTCATAATCTTGATTTCATTGACTCATTTTCGACTTTATGGTAGAATTTGATTGTTTTGATCCTTTTTAGAGATCAGAGAAATAAATTTTAACTCAATAAACACAATACAAAGAACTGTGTATTTACTGCATTATATTGAATTCAACATTCAACGAAAAAAGTGAACAATCTACTATCTAAAAAGCTACTAAGCTTATTAATACTGCGTGATTCTGCAGCATATGGAAATATATAAAAGTATAATACTGGATTATTTTTTGACAAATTTTTGAATGTTTCAAATCTTCACTGCATGAGTTTGACCTCGCGAAAATCGAGCAGGAGTTAAATTTTTACCCTATTTTGTTAATATATTGTTTTGTTTATTAAATTACGCGATTTTAGTAAATTCAGTATATAGGTGGCATGTTAGACGTGGCGTGGCGAATTTAATTTTGGACTAATTCAATTTTTAACCGAATATTGAATTATAGCTTGCCAAGCATGTAGGAAATAGGCGACTTGAAACGTTTTTAGCAAAGCACGTTTCTGTTGAAGTGTTCCTACTGTAAACTCTCAGATGTAATTCTTCGTGTTATCACTAGGTATTCCAGTTTTCAAACCATTCGAGTTCTTTTGAAGACACACATTTATACTAAATACGGCAGCCGGCCCACATGACATGGGCCCATATTTAATTGAATATAATGTAGCAAATATATACACACTGATATCTATGTTTGTTACATTATTCAATTAAATTCGTAGCAAGGCTTGTGAGAAGTCCCAAACCAAAGGATGATGTAGCTAAATTTAATAGATTTCATTACCAATTAGATCAGTTGTTCGAAATTAGCTCGTAATGTCACCGATATTTACTGAGCCACTGACCAAGAAGCATTGCTAACGAAAAAATGGAAAAGAAACAAGTTCGTGCAATTATATTTATAAACATTTATTAATTTCGGTATCGCTGTAGTTTTGTCCACGGAAACGATCTAAAATTTTGAATCAAAGTTTCAAGCAGAAGTTCAGATTCTTCAAGCAAAACTGTTTCGGATACATGCATTGAATTATTACTATACAGCATGCAGCACCATCATGATCCTAAAACGTATAGTTACCTAAAATATTTACTATTCAATTTCTGGTTGAAATCAAGATTGGCAATTCACGTTATTTACACCGAGGGGAAGTGTATGGAATTTACAATGTTTATACATAGCATAACCTGCAGTTTGTGACATGCAGAATTAAGATCGAGTTTTAGCCAGCTGTTTACGCACATGCAGAGAAGAATTAAAAGCATGCATAATGTGCTATATCGTTTCAAGAATACATGCAACATTTAACATCGTAGAATATTTTTATATATCTTGTTATATAGCCTACAATTTGCTATTCATGACAGAATAAATGTTCGAGTCACGGTTAAGGAGTATAAAGTATTTATAGAATTTATATTCTATTTTAATTTCAATCAGTATTGTCATGAAACGATTTTGTTAGACAACGAATCGTTTTATAGACAGACCTTACCAATACTAGTCACATGTTCTACATAAATAAACCATTATGTATCCATCAATAAATGCATTAGGCCGAACTCGTGTGTCGCTCGACATCAAGGGGACAACATTTTTTCAGCAGTAAAAACCCAAACACAACGGTTCTCGCGAATTAGCTATCTGTCAAGAAAGTCGAGGAAATCTCGCAATCTTTTCAATGTGTATGTTATCTCAACTACACATTCTTACATCTAAAGAATAACAATACAGATTATGCGATACAGTGTGTGAAAGGGCATAACCATATCGGACATTCCTAGTTGTGGTTTTTGTTCTGCTTTAAGTTATAGGGAGTGAAACGTTGTTTATGATCATTCATTTGCATTGTTAATGATCATTCAGTGTATATATAGCAGAATATTCTTAATGATTGCAGTTAATATGCATGCAACCGGCATCAGATGTTCTCAGTGAGCGGAATTATAAATGCGATGTCATGATCATAACAAATTCCTTGTGTAAGAAATTTAGAATCACAAAAAAGCTAACTGACGCTTATTGAGTGCATGGTCTGAGATGTCGATAACTTGAAAGATTTCGTGACGATATTTAATGACAATCGAGGGCTTGATTTTCAATGTTTTTTAACTTATAATCTTGCTATTGATTCAGAATATCGAAAGAAATTACACATTGATCGACAGGGACGTAATTTCTATGTCCCCCAGTAGCTGTGAACGTGAGTGATGTTTTCAAATATAGATTTTTTTGAAAAGAGGTGAACACTCGGGCCAGTTGTTCAAAGCTGGATTAGCGCTAACCCAGGATTAAATTTTGCATCAGAAGTGACCAAATATATTTTAGACACTTCCCAAATTTGCGACTTGGCAGGTGTATGTAAATACTCACAATGGATGGGTGCACATGCATTGTCCGCCTCGTTTTTAAGCAATTGTTTTGTGTTCACCCAAGCAAATTTTAGAGTGAGTCGTGTTACTACTATTCTTTAAAGGGCTGTTACACGGTTCGGTTTCTCTTGCCACTTGCGATGCCATTCT